AAAAATCCGTTTGCCAAAAATAAGCTTTTTACGTCAAGCAGTTTAAGCAGAATCGTGGTTAAGAAATTACCCAACTTTTTCGAACACCCTGTATGATTTTTTAAAAAATTTCAAAATATGTTATAAAAACAAATAAATTATGCTTGTCCAAGCGTTTTCCCGAAAGACTAACCGTTTTTTAAATAACAAATATTGTAATATTTGAGGGGCGTTTTCACTCTCTTGGAATTTGAGATTCGAGAAACCCCTCCTTATCGAACCTCTACACCCCACAGTCAATCCGTTTGCCAAAAATCAGCTTTAAACGTCAAGCAGTTTAAGCAGAATCGTGATTACTCAATGGTCATATTTTATGAAACTTCCTGTATAAATTTATAAAAAATCTTAAAATATGTAAAACAACAAATAAAATATACATGTTTAAGAGTTTTTCCGAAAAACTCACCGGTTTTTAAATAAAAAATATTTTAATATTTGAGGGATAGTTTCACCCTCTTAGAATTCCAGTTTCAAAAAATCCCTTCCTATCGAACCTCTACACCCTAAAGTCAATCTGTTTTCCAAAAATCAGCTTTTTACGTCAAGCGCTTTAAGCAGGATCGTGATTAGTCAATGACCAGATTTTTCGAAACACCCTGTATACATTTTTAAAAAATCTTAAAATATGTAAAAAACAAAATAAAATATACGTGTTTAAACGTTTTTTCGGAAACTTGACCGTTTTTTAAATAAAAAATATTGTAATATTTGAGGGGTGGTTTCACTCTCTTGGAACTGGAATTTTGAAAAATCCCTTCTTATCGAACCTCTACACCCTAGAATCAACCTGTATGCCAAAATTGAGCTTCTTACGTTGAGTGGTTTGAGCAGGATCGTGATTAATCAGTATGTCAGTCACTTAAGGATTGGAATTAGTACTGGGAGAATTGTCAGATCAGGGGCTTGGAACACCCTCATAAAGGAAATACCACTCCTGCAACTCCCAGTGGACGATATGCCAAGAACGTACAACTTTGACAAACATGTCAATGTAGTATTGAGCAATAAAAAGGATTGGAAGAGCGAAACGCTTGCCCAGCAGTTAAAAGACCATACCATAACTTGGTATACTGATGCTTCCAAAACCAATACGGGAACAGGGATCGGAGTGTTTGGGCCGAGAGCTAAATACTCCGAACCAATGGGCACTTACCCTAGTATCCTACAGGCAGAAATCTACGCTATCGAAAGATGCGTACAACTTATCTTAGATAGGAACTATCGAAAACAAGAAATAGCCATCTTGTCTGATAGTCAAGCAGTAGGGACGTAGCAGTTACGACTCAGTATCAATCAATTCGAAATTGGTCAAAGAATGCATAGAGAAGCTGAATAAATTAGGCAAAGAAAACAAAGTCCTCCTACTCTGGGTGCCTGCTCACCAAGGGATAGAAGGCAATGAAAAAGCAAATAATCTAGCTAGGAAAGGAGCGAACACTCCACTAACTGGACCAGAACCGTTCTGCTTTCCAAGTGGTAACCAACTCAAGGCGGAACTCAAGAACTTGGAAGATTCCATCCGCCACCTGGAATGGAAATCTTGCAACGGTCTAAGACACTCGAAGAAGTTTCTGAGGGCTTATGATCAAGAAAAATCACAGATCTTCCTGGGTTTAAGTAAGAACAATCTTCGGATTCTCAATGAACACCTCAGTAGATTGAAACTAAGAAGAAACGGCGAATGCAGATTCTGTGGGGAAGATGGGGAAACACCAGTACACCTCATCAATGAGTGCGTCGAGACGACAACCATTCGTGCCATGAATTTTGGTACGACTGATATTGGAGATGGAGAACTACCCTCTATAAAACCGTCCCAGATACTGGCTTTTGTCAATGCCCTGGGACTGTATGATGAGTTATGATTCAAGAAAGGGGGACACAATGGATCTGTAAGGTCGCAGTGATTAACCCCCCTCCCACTCATTCTAAATTCTAAATTCACTTATGGATTTTATATATTATATTAGTATAGATTTTTAGCTTTTACAAAGTAGTTTATTAATTTATTAATTATATTTTTCGGCATAAAACTGTATTTATTTCAATTAGTATGTCATTAACAGTACCGAAGAGTACCTTCCGTCGTTTAAACTGTCGTCCGTTTATACTGTGGAATTATGCTTTCTGTTTAGTAGTCAAGTGCGTTGGTTACCATGCGGCTTTCAACCGGAACCATTAAGAGTACTCGGTACTAACAGAATGTGCATTAATAAACAAATTACCACCGAATATTTCAATTATGCTGTTGAGATTTAATAATACAATCATTCAGACCTCCCTTGGCATATTCAAGTACTCTCTATATTTTGTTTGCCTCCCCTTTCACGGTCAAAAATTAAAATAATTGTACTTTGGTACCGATTCGGTGACTCACCCTGTACACTATTGCAGAAAATAGGACAGTAAAGGTTTTTAGCCGACCATACCAACAGGTGTGGTAGGCTATTAAGATCGGCAAAAAAAATTTTTTTTAATTTTCTTTAATTTTTGGTGTAATAAAAAAGCGTATAAATCTTCAGCAGTTCATAAGAACTTTCTCTTTCACTATTCCTCACACCCTGTATAATTCCTTGATTGAAATAGCTTCTCAGAAGAAACTAAATAAATCACATGACTGTAGTAAACTAATGATATTCTTTTAACGAAAAAAAATCCGATATAACAGAACAAAACATGATAAAGACGGTTGTCGACAGCTCGATAATTAGTAATAACATAAACTTAATGACTTATTGTTTGTAGCAACAATGGCCGGCAGTGTTGATAGCAACAAACAGACAAAAATTTTGTCTGTCTAGGTAATAATGCATTCCTATAGTTTTAATAAAACATTTCTTTATTACTAAATAAATCAAAATGTTTTTACATCGACTCCAATTATTCTTGACTGAAAAATAGATTTCTTTTTTTGTTAAAATTTAGTTCCAACGTTTATATTTTAGCGAAATATTTTTCTATGACGGATATTTTTTATCTTCTCACTAATATAAGTAACCCAAAATCGTTTAAACTACCCCTATTTGCTCATCTGCTGTCAATAAAACAACTATGGGGCTGCAAAGAATATCGAATGCAAGTTAATTCTATACAGAGGGTGTCCCAGAAATAAGTATTTTAAGGGATGGTAGATCTCGATGAAAGAAACATATTTTCTCCTTATCGTTTTTCAAATATCTATGTTACCATATTATCAAGAAAGCATGTTTTTAACTAAAAAATAAAAAAAAATTCAAAAAATTTTTCAAAAAATTCCGAATTTTCAAATTTTCTTTTTCACGAAAAAAACCTCATAGGCGTGTTTCTGGGATTGAACTATATTACCAGCTAAAATACTTGCACTTATTTGCTTTATTTATTGTATAGAGGTAAAAGAATATGAAATATCATGATAATTTTCGAACCCTGGAGAAAATTAAAATGTTATTTCTGTAATTACACTGTCCGAATCTTTTCAAATCTCTACATAATCACATGTCATTATTTCAGTACCAGCTACGTCCTGTAAACAGTTAACTGTCAGGTGGCTTAGTTAATTATTTTTTATTATATTCTCTTAAAAAAATGTCTATGTATATTTGTGATAATTATTCTATTTTCTGATTTCTCTTTTAAATCGACAAGAGTTCTCACCAAATAATTAGGTTTATTGATGATAAAATAAACCTTACTCCGTCAGAAAATGAATTTAAAGTATTTAAACATATGTATATACCGGGTGTTGCATCGTCGAGCGGGACATAGGAAATCCCATGTAAATTTTAATGGGCTCAATTATTGGCTTCCCTAATTATTTTAGAGAATAATTCTATTTAGGTTTATTGAAGAGCACTAAAACCCACACTCAAAAGAATAACTTTAGATATTTTTGATTAGCCCGGTTACGAGTTATCGCCGATTTCCTTTTAAATATTACTACTACTTCTTTCTTATGGCCCTGTATTTACTTATGAGCACCAGTCAAGGTAAAAGATAACTGTCAAATGAAGTTGCCATTTAATAGTACCTAAATTAATAAGTTATTGAATATTGTAATAATACTTAATTCATATTAATTTGTATTTATAAATATATCTTCAAGATTTCCGATGTAGGAATGAGTTTTCAATAATAATAAAGCACTAAATAGGTAAATTTCTGAAATGACAACTTGATTTGACAGTTTTCTTTTACCTTGACTGGTGCTCATAAGTAAATACAGGGCCATAAGAAAGGAGAAATATTTAAAAAGAAATCGGCGATAACTCGTAAACGAGCTAATCAAAAATATCTAAAGTTATTCTTTTGAATGTGGGTTTTCAATAAACCTAAATAGAATTATTCTCTAAAATAATTAGGGAAGTCAATAATTGACCCCATTAAAATTTACATTGGATTTCCTATGTCCCGTCCGACGATGCAACACGCTGTAAGTATAGTTTTGTGCCAAATTCTTAAAATAGAATTCTGATATAATTTTTTTGGATATCGTTGTGCATTATATTGTATAATCATACATAAATATAACTTTAGCTAGACAAAAAATATCTATTTTTTTAAATAAATTGACATGCGACAACTGCCAGTGTCATATTTTCTTTTGCTAGACACACTATACATTTCTAATCTTCCCAAACTATGCAAAACAATATTGCAAGTCTGTCCAACAAAAGGATCCATGACATTGACAGTTGTGTCTGTCATTTTAATTCACAGTAAACTGTGTTTTCTGTCATTTTCTCGATGTTGTCTGTCGAAATCTTCCTTCACACGTTTGACGTTATTTTTTTACTGAAAAGCTTTTGTGTCATTTTTTAATAAATGCCATATAGAGCTCTTTCTAAGCCCAGTCATTTATAAGACCACTATTACGCTGTTTTTTTTTTATTAAAAAATATTATGAGAAATTAAAAGACAGTTCATAGATACTATTTGGTACTACCCGTAATTTTTTATGGTACTATAAATAAAATTAACTTTACCTGATCATCCAACAAATGACAATTGACATTTTTCCACCCTCCAGCCAGCAGGGTGCAATTACATCCTTGCGCGTCACATATCGTGTACCCCTTCTGCCCCAAAACCAGATCAACGAGGGCACACAGTACCACCCCTCCAAGTACCACCGCTGAAATATATTTCCTCCCTTTGTTTCGCATTTTGCACCGAAGAAACTGCACTCATCGCACACTGTATACTTTGGTACTACCCTCGAGCATTTTAGTTTGAATTAAGTACTACCGAAAAATATTTGTTTTGCGAGATTTTAAACATCCTTTTAGGTCGAGAGTACTGCCGAAGAAGGTTATCACGTACCGACGCGACACTGAATGAAGAGAGTGGTACTGAAACAAAGTTGGTTTTCGTACGACTCGTACCGTGTACAGCCTCTGATTCAACTGAGCGCTCGCCGTTCTGTCTGTTTTTGGACGAGCCTCTGGTTGAATTTAGGCAGTGGCGTAGTTTGTAATTTAAATGGAATCTACGTTGTGTTAAAAATATTTTTTTGTGACTTACCTCGGATGCGCTTGACAGAAGCATGGGGAAAATTGAGGAGAATATGCATCTCCTGGCATATATTGAACATCTTTCAAAACATAGAAAGGCTTCATCACTTTGAGTATATTATTCCGTGCTACGTTCAGTTATATCAGTGAAGAAAAATACAGATATTAGGAAGTACGTCCATTTAATTGCATTTCTAAAAAGAAAATCGGAAGGATTTCGGTCAAAAAAATCGAGAATTTAAGAAAAGAAGACATAACTCGTTTTTTGTTGGAAGCCGATGATAAAACTTATTTCCTGACAAAAGTTTCATTGATAGTGGGACTTGCGGGAGCCTGCCGGTGTATCGAGTTGACAAATCGGCAGCTGCAAAATGTTAAAGATGAAGGACAATGCATTCATGTCATTATTCCATTTACGAAAACAAAGATATCACGAGATTTTTTTATAACGAAAGGGAATGTTGAAGGAATAAATATGATGGAAATGGTTCGAATATATACAGCTATGCGGCCAAGCAACACAGAGCATACTCGATTTTTTGTGGGGTACAGAAATGGAAAATGTATTAAGCAACCCGTTGGCATTAATACTTTAGGAAAAATTCCGTATAAAATAGCATTGTTCCTAAGTCTTCCAAATCCACAACAATACACTGGACATTGTTTCCCTAGGTCGTCTGCGTCGTTGCTTGCAGATTCAGGAGTGGATTTATTAACTGTTAAAAGACAACGCAAGTTGGCGCTCTACACAGTGGCAGAGAGCTATATAGAAAATTCCAAAGAAAATAAGAAAAAAGTGTCATGTAATATTTTCGGTAACATTTCTGGCAATGATGGGTCTTCAACAAGTTCAAGCACTCAGGAAATAAATTTACTTTCTAAAAATTCAACTCACCTGTCATCGTCTGGAATTAATTTAACCAATTGTACTGATATTATAATTAATGTTTACAATAAATAAACGTATTTAGGTACTTTTTTTTGCTTGTTTCTTATTTTAAAATTTGCGTGTTATTATGAATTCATAATTTGATAGATTAAATTTGTAAATACTACTTATTTTATTAAATTAAATGAAAGGAGTGCCAGAGTGTCTTAAAACTGCATATTTCGAATTTAATGAAATATGCTGTTATTTAATAGTTTAATAAATATTAACTAATTACATTTTACAAAGTTCCTGAAACTACGCCAATGGCGTTATCAAGTTTTGAAAAAAATGAAATAAATAAACAAAGCGTTTGTTTACATTTTGCATGTCTACGTGGCTATTACCCTTTTATTATAGATGTCTAATCTTTGAAAGGTAAATACTTCTATGAAAGGTTTTGTATTAAAGAGAAAACACACATATAAATATCCCCCTAGACACCTACGCCTATGCTTTACGCACCATTACACCAAGTTGTTGTCGTTCTTTCTCACTTCATCTCTCCACGGTTTCCAGCGTTCTACCAGCGTTGCCAGCTCTCTATAAAGCTGTTTTTTAAATCACTTTCAACAGTATGGAAAGCGACGAAAGCTCACAATATTTAAGTTAAAAAAAATCCGATTTCAACACTGTAAATTTAATTGATGATAATTATATGTCAAATATAAACAGACAGCTGATTCTACTGTCGCTGATAACCTACAATTTGAATGTTTATTTTATTATAAATACTGGGAGATATAATAAATATTTGTTTATATAAGTTATCTTTTTGGGGGCCTTCTGGTTATTTTAAACAGACGAGACGTCAGTTGTATTTAGGAGAACAATTTTATATAATTAATAATGTACATAATGATTCATTAAGTAATGAACTGCCTTTTATTCTTTTTACTGTATATTTGACTGCTTTAACTGTATGTTTTACTTTTATTCTTGATTTTGTTGTGTTACTGTCTATTATTTCTATTTTGGTTCTGTGTATTCTGATAGCAAAAATACTGAAATAAGTAGTATCAATAGTAATACTATGACAGTCTCAGTACTGGCTTCTACAAAAGCCAGTATCTGTGACGGTTTTACAGAGGTTAGTTCTCCAATATCAGTCGTACCTACTACTACTGCCATTACTCGCTGACGAGTATTCGGTATGCATCAGAAGATGGTCTTTAAGTTTTCGTGGAAAATGTTCTTGTACCTTTTGAGTTGTCCACCCGGCGTCCTCTTACCGTCTACAAGCTCACCGTAAAGCAGAGATTTTGGTATGCGGTTTTCTTGCATTCTGCATACGTGACCAGTCCATCTGAAGCTGGATTTTGTAACCATGACTTCAATAAATTACGTCTTAATTAACTACTTCCAACCCTGCTTACCACTCAGAGATGATGATGCTAACATGGTTAGGGAAACGCGCGTCCAGTGTAAAAGTAAAAGTGTTTTGGTGTATTGTGGTGATTTAGTGTTTTTTTTATTTTGCTGTGTAACATCAAAGGTTCCAACCCTCAACTGTAATACATGTAATGTAGTTTATGTAGTTTTTAAAAGTAACATGTAGTTTTCCAAACCCTGGTCGTAAGTTCTGAGATTTTTTTTCTTAGACCGTTGGAGGATTCCCATTTCAAGTTACCGATGGAGTCTTCCAGGCAGGGTTCGGAAGTAGTTAATTAAGACGTAATTTACCTGATTAACTACGTGTAGTTTTTCTTCAAAAACTACGTCTTTTCCCGTTCATTATCTACATGAAAACTACGTTAATAAACTATGTATTGATATTATGAATAATTTTCCTTTGTATGAGGTGTAATAGAGATAATATGATGTAAATATTATATTTAAAGCCATATTTCTTTTGTTTTCTTAAATACATTATGTGTTTTTAAAGCTTCAACTTATGATAACCTCACCTCAAACCTTTGACATTTGAAAGTTACGTACATAGGTTACATAAACTACACCCTCTACATAAACTACATTAACTACATGTAATGTAGTTTATGTAGTTTTTAAAACTAACATGTAGTTTTCCGAACCCTGCTTCCAGGTTCTTGAGTTCTGCTTTAATTTAGTTTCCACATGGGTAATTTGTTAAAGAAATCGTTAAGAAAGACTCTAAGCACAATTTTTTGTATCTAAAAACATCTGACAACCTCTCCTAAACATATTTGTTCATGTAAAAACACGCGATTAATAATTTCCCCGAAATTATGGAATAAATGCAAAAATCGGCAACGCCGCCATGTCGGTACGGTACTGACTTCAGCTGTTTCTTTGTCCGATCGTACTTACGGCGAACGCCAGCATCATGCATCCCAAAAAAGGGAAAAAAGGAACAAAAAGCAAGGAAGGCGAGTGGAAACCATGACATGTTTTGGCCTGTCAAAGTGTTTCGAAAATTCTACGTAACGGTCCACGAATGATGCTCCTTTCGAATTGCATGAATGGTTTTCGGATTCAGTGGTATTTTTAGTGGGCAAATATAAGGGAGAGGTTGCATTTTTCGCTAACGAGTCTTAGCCTGTAAAGGATCTTTCGAATTTTCTGCGTAACGATCAAAGAAAATGTAATAAATTTTCTCTTGATTTAAAAATATTTAAATTGTTATAATTATAGTAATTTAAGAAAAATAGACACACCGGAAAAATCTAGGGATATCATTTTATTAAAGTTAAAAATAAATGTTTTGAATAAACAACCACATATTTGTAGGCCGATTCTTCCTACTTCGATTGAAACGAAGTAGTCACACTAGTTATTTCTAAATTTGGGATATTTGCAGATGTGTTTGTGCATTTTTTGTCAAAGGTATAAAAAGCACCTAGCATCAATTGTTCGAATTTAACCTGTACTGGCTATGTTTTTATGATAACTGGCCAGAATTCATTCAAATAACTCTGTTTAGAGTATTAAACGACATTATGGAGCGTAGACATCTTAACAGAGACGAAATGCTAAGGGCCATGGGTATGCTTGAAGCTGGAATGCGCCAAATCGACGTAGTTAGAGCATTAAATACAACGCAAAGTGTAATATCGCGATTAAGTGCACGCTACCGTGAAAGTGGTGATGTTGCTGAGGGCACACAGGGCGACATCGCATTACTACACCTCAGCAAAATCATTTTTTACAATTAAATGCTCGACGCCGACCGACTCTTACAGCACCAGAGCTTAGTTTAATTTTCCAGGAAACACATAATTTAACCGTAGTCCTGACACTGTTCGCAATAGATTAAGAGAGGTCAACTTAAGAAGCAGACGCCCCTGGAGAGCTCAACCCTTAACGAGAGGAAATCGAGAGGTACGATATTTGTGGGCTCAAGATCATGTTCAGTGGTCGAATGAACAATGGGCCAATGTTCTCTTCACGGATGAGTCACGCTTTGGAATTCATCCGGATTCGAGAAGGCTTAGGGTATGGAGAGAACCGGGAAATCTTATTCGGTTAGATCATGTAGAAGTGCACCTTTATCAAGGTGGAACAGTTATGGTCTGGGGAGGAGTCCAGTTAGGCCGAAAAACCGATCTCGTTTTTCTTGAAAGGTTTCTAACAGGAATTACATATCGTGATTTAATTCTTGAGCCTGTCGTGTTATCATATGCCAATGATTTTGGGAGAAATTTCATTCTCATGCATGACAATGCACGGCCTCATACAGCCAGAGTGGTAAGTGAGTTTATCAATGCTCATCAATTAAACATCTTACCCTGGCCGGCACAATCTCCTGACCTCAACCCCATCGAGCACGTATGGGACGCGGTCCAAAGAAGAATTTTGAGAATGGGTATGGCTCGTGAAACTCGTAGGGATCTGGTTCGGGCCGTGAATGCAGCGTGGCAGGCTGTACCTCAAGAAGAGATCGACAACCTGATCAGGAGCATGGAGAGACGATGTAGGGCTGTAATGAACAGTAGAGGAGGCTATACCCTTTATTAAGTAAAAATTGTTTTATCTTATTTTTTTTAATTCACAGTTTAGAATAATAACTTTTTGTCCGTACCTGTATAAAACTACCGAGTGAAAAAATATGCATTTGCGTGATTTTTAACGTAAAAAAGGTCTCTTGGTAAAAATCGCTACGAGCAACCGTTTTCAAGATATTTAGAATAAAAATAGCCAATAATGTCATTATTGACAAAAATAAACATGTTGAGTAGATAGTTATTTGACTGAAATGAAAAATTTGGGAAATTTTTATTTTTTTAAATTAATCACAGATTCAACAGTTTCTGTTGAATTTTTGGCACAAAAACATTTCAAATGTATGATTTCAGTCTAATAGTCAACATGTTTAATTTATGTCAATAATGACAGGTATTGATTATTTAGATTCCAAATATCTCGAGAACCATTACTGGTAGCGATTTTTACCAAGAGAACTTTTTTACATAAAAAACGTCGTAAATGTCTATTTTTTTACTGGGTAGTTTTATACAGGTACGGAAGAAAAGTTGTTAGTCTTCAAACCAATTAAACAATATGTAGGTGGCGCCCTCTATAAGTAGTAATCATATGAACATCAAAATCAAATTTCTCATATCAAAAAACTCCGAGATACCAATTTTCATCCAAATATTGACGTTGCTTCAGAAATTATTTGGAAAAATTCGAAATAAAAATGAAACTTCTACGCCCTGTATCTCCGAAACTAAGCATTTTGATATACATTAAAACAAACTTTTTTTACCTTTTTTTATCTGCAGAATATGCTGCCGAAGTTTCCGGAATACAATTCGGACCACCCTGTATATTATTTTTCTCTTATTTCTTTGAGATTCTTAATAAACCTACACCATTCGATTAAGTTTAGATTGTTCCTAAATATCTGAGCGATATTTTTTTCCTGTGAGAAATCAACTCATCTAAAAATAAAAATATATCTTCTCTTTAAGTTTCCATACCCATGAATTATCTTCTTGTAACGATAACCATCAAACTAACGCTTCTCATACATACACCCTAAGAAAGATCCCGTGAAAAGAATAATTTGTCATTCATCTGGTACACACTCAACTTTAACTCTCCCAAAAAAGGTAGAAAGTGCAGGTAGAAAAAATAAAAATCCAAAAAGTTTACGTATAGGCCAAAGCAGTGACTAAGAAAATGCTATACCATGTTATCTTAATGGCTGAAATGATAGTGAAACATGAAAGAGAAAAAGAATGTCAATATCCGATAGAGAATAAGTACCTAATATAAGTACCAACTTATGAACTAATATAGAAACTGATAACACTGTCTATTCTTAACTAGTTATATCTCTTATACACAAAGCCGAGTTGAATAACCAAAGAAAATAAAACCTACTTTGCTTGGTTTTAGTTGCTTTTTAACGATAACTTTGTTTAACAATGTTAAAAAGGCACTAATATTGGTACTGATTAATTATAACGAAAAAACCTTTTTAGGGTTCCGTAACCAAAGGGTAAAAAACGGGAACCCGGAACGGGGTTAAATAAATTGTGACTTTCTATCCACACGGAACCGACAAAAAACGCAACAATATAATATGTCTCTACCTATAAGATTATTAATTCACCACGTTGAAGATTTATTTATGGTACTACCCTTTGGTTCTCTACTTAATTTCAGTACCCACTCCAATGAGAGGCTGTTCCTCAGCGATTTCGTGGGATGTGTAGCTGGATCGAGCGGCGGTCGTCTAGCTCAATGGCTACAGCCTGGGAGCAGAGCTGAGCCATCCCAGTGCAAGGTACTATGCGCTAGAGACGACCTGAGACAAGGATGGCCAGCTATCGTCACGGTACTGACCAGGGATCAGTACGGAGAGGCTGTATACGTACCCAACATGAAGGTATTGTGAATGTAGAAACCCTTCCATGGTTGGAGTTTGGCCCTCCGTGCCGTCTTTAACAGCTTTTGAACTGCTTTGAACGGGTTTGAACAAAAACTGAACAGGTCTGTTGTTTTACGCTAAAAAGCCGTTCAAAGCAGTTCAAAAGCCGTTCAGAGCAGATCAAACCTGTTTATTCTTGTTTATTAACCTATTTTACATGTTCTTAGCTGATTTGCTCCTCCTCCTCCTCCTCCTCCACCTCCACTGGCGCAGAATCGGCCATCTACCTCTACTGGTAGCGTTGTAAAATACACATCCTCGCGACTAATTAGTTGGTTAAATCAAAGTGGTCGATTTAGCGACCATAAATCTATAAAAGATTAAATAAGTATTCTGAATCATTTTTAGTTGATAGAACTCCACTTAGTATACAATTTTTTGGTCTAAAATTTAGGTTGAAGTCAAAGCTATCCCAATTGACAAAAAGGAACTAGGTGATTGCGATGCAGGAAGGAAAATGAGAAGAGTTAGTCAGCCTGATCCTCTAACCTTCGGAGGTTTACCTCCTCCTCCATTACAGCACGTGTACGAACCTACCATCAGAGATAAAATGAAGTTTCATTCAATCACGGTCATGAAACCTTTCCAAAACTATTCTTTTGAGGAACTCAGGTACACAAGTTCATTGATGAGCAAATAAAAGATCAAGATGAAGACTACCTTGGTCTTTTTTGCAAATCCACGATCAAGACTATCGTAATATTTTTCTTTTGTTTGTTTGATTCATTGCCAGATATACATCACCTCCTGTGAAGAGATCAAGCGAAAACATGCTGGTCAGACCAAATCCTGACGGTACCTACAGTGCCACCTGGACACCTGCTTCAGTAGGATGTTATTCTATCGTAGTCAACATCGATGGATACGAAATGGAAGAAACCTTCAAAGTTGAGGTCTGTAATTCCCTAAATTTCCCGTATATATTTTTTTAAATTATTAAATTTGTAGGTGAAGGAACCACCTCAAGGTATGCTACCGCCAAATCAATCCACGAGTAAAAAATCAAGCAATCAACCAAGTAAAGTTAGGAAGTTTGTAGCCAAAAATTCAGCTGGTTTGAGAATACGAGCTCATCCGTCATTGCAGAGCGAACAAATTGGTATAGTTCACGTGAATGGTACTATTGTTTTTATAGACGAGGTACTAAATCGAATTAGTGGTACCAAAACTGTTTTGTTTTGAATTAATTCAATTTTTCAGATTCATAATGATGATGGAGTATGGTTAAGGCTTTCAGCCGATACTATCCGGCAGTACTGTAATCCTCATATAGTCGAAGCTTGGTGTCTTCAGTATAATCAACATTTGGGGAAGACTTTGCTTTTGCCTGTCGAAGAACCAAAAACTATTTTGGAACAAGTGATTATAGATACGATCATGAGGAAATTACCAGAAATTCAAGATAAATCTAAACAATCCCAAATTAGTTATAAAGTAAGTAAAATACCTATATTAAAATGTTTTTGGTTAAAACTGTTAGGCTCTTTCTGTATATACTTATTGAAAATTAACAGTAAATAATATTTTTTTTAATCGAAAAGGTTGTAAAATGTGGAGCTTCTGGTCACAATGTCAGAAACAGACCCAGTTTGAAGGCTTCTCCGGTAGGGATGCTGGTTTTGGGTAACAGAGTTGGAGTTAGCGAGTATGTAGTTAATTCAGAAGGTCTGTTTGATGGTCTATGAGATCCAGATGTTAATATTTACACTGTATTATTTTTCTAGGATGTTGGGTACTATTGGATAAAGCTACAAGAGATAAATATTGCTTTAACACTGATGGTGAAGCGTGGTCTCTGGCTATTGGTACGAATAACACACTGTATTTAGATAGTGTCAGCGAATCAGACAACCCCAAGGTAAAAATCTGTACTAATATATAAAATCCTTTTAAGTGACTGACTAACTGATTAATGACGATCCTGCTCAAACCACTCAACGTAAGAAGTTCAATTTTGGCATACAGGTTGATTCTAGGACGTAAAGGTTCGATAAGAAGGGATTTTTCGAAATTCCAGTTCCAAGGGGGTGAAACCACCCCTCAAATATTACAATATTTTAGAAAAAAACGGTCAAGTTTTCAAAAAAACGCTTAAACACGTATATTTTATTTTGTTTTTTTACATATTTTAAGATTTTTTAAAAATGTATACAGGGTGTTTCGAAAAATCTGGTCACTGATTAATCACGATCCTGCTTAAAGTGCTTGACGTAAAAAGCTGATTTTTGGAAAACGGATTGACTTTAGGGTGTAGAGGTTCGATAAGAAGGGATTTTTCGAAACTCATATTCTAAGGGGGTGAAACCACCCCTCAAATATTAGAATATTTTTCGTTTAAAAACCGGTGAGTTTTTCGGAAAAAAAACTCTTAAACACGTGTATTTTGTTGCCTTTACATTTTTTAAATATTTCTTCCATTTTAATGGAATCGTAGTCAATGTTTTTTTTAATTATATGGTATTTAGTTGACGTCTGAGACACCAAAAAGAGGTTTTGCATTCGCCTATCCCAAGTCCGGAGGTGATTTTACCTTCTCCGGAGGTCAAAGCAGTTCCTCCACTTTGAAGGGCAGATCTGAAGACTTTGTATCATCTAACCCCTTCATATTTGGTGAAAATTTGGAGAGTGAACCTCCTAAAGTACCCAAAAGGGAAAGGAGAGACAGCAGCAAGTCGAAATTCAAACCAAAATTGACTAGGAGCGATGAAGGACAAACGTTAGTAAATAATTTGAAAAAATAATCGAAAATAATATACAAAAAATCTTGATTTGTTTGTTGGTTTTTAGTAATGAAGGTTTTTTTGACGCTTCCCCTAAACCCTTACCAGAAATGGGTTCAAATGGGAACGGTATTACTCCTCCAGATACTCCAAAGAGGTCTCAAAGTCCTAGACCAGGTGTGTTTAGTCCTAAACCCATGAGTAGGAGTTCTAGTCCAATTGCTTTGCCCAGTAAGTTAATGAACACTTTTTAATTCTATAATTTTTAAACTAAGTATTTTAAAGTTTTATATATTGTGTTTTAGTGGACTGATTTTGATGATTTTTTAAGCAATTTGTATCTAAATTATTAGTTTTCTAATCTAAAAATTAAAGTTCTCATCTGCCAATTATACGAGGGAATACAAGATGTTGTTATTTTGGTGAAAGTTTGGAACACCCTGTAGGATATGTTAAAAAAGCAATGACTTTTTGACAATTATTTTATCATCTAGGTACATTTTTCCTCGATAATACATTTTTCGGTTCATCTCAAAAGCTTTATTTTTTTCGGAGATATTCGCTTTTGAAGGAGAGACTAACGTTTTTTCGTAATTTTTATATTACAACCATACCGTGTCCTGGCGAGTTCGCCATATATTTAATAATAAAATACCATTCATATTTATTAAAGAAAAATATTTGATCAAAATTTAGTCACAGTATTGACAAAATTCATGTATCTCTGTATTTATTTTCTGAATTTACACAACTATAATTTAGGTCGAGCATTACACCAAGATAGTGGTAGTAGTAGTCCACCTATATACGGTTCTTCAAGAAGTGTAGGAATATCACCATTAGGTACTACTATTTTATTTATTTAAAATAAAACAAAAAATACTGAATCTATTTTTATTACAGTATCAGGTACCACAGGACATGACGGTACTCGTCGTGGTTCAAACCAATCAGACACAAGCGCTCTGGTCAGCAGTCTAACTAGAGATTTGTCTCAAAGTCCCAGTCAGTCTACTCAACCCAAGGAAATATCCCCCAGTCCCAGTGGAAGTTCTTTGGTCAACAGTCCACCACATACGCCAGGGTCAACCAAGAAAGAAATTTCGGTATTTTTTTATTTATTCAAAAAAAAACAGGATCATATACAGGGTGATTTTCAAGTATTTTTATGGTAAAATTCAAAATTTTGACACCCCGTATCACAAAAACACATTTTTGTATGAACTTTTCACCTTAAAAATACTTGAAGAATCACCCTGTAAAATAAGAGACATTTATTCAGAAACGCACTTTATACAGGGTAGTTCACCACATACGACACGGAGTATTGTTGCTAAACGATTAGATTTTTACAAATTGTAAGTTTTGGGTTCGTTGTAGGACTAGTAGAGCTAAAATAATTATTAGATTTAAACGGCAATAACTTGTTTAATTTAAAAGGAACACCCTGTATATTTTATCAGAATCAGATGCACAATTTAATTGTCTATCAAATTGTATTAAACCATTTTTTACACCTATCTCTTCAAGTTTCCGTAGAAAAAACCATAATATTGCGTTAAATTTGCCAAAAACGATAATATTACTAGCCTGTACATTTTGTACATTTGTTGTTTTAAAACAATCTAAAATGTCAATATTCCATAGGTATATTAGACAATTAAATTGTGCATCTGATTCTCCTAAAATATACAGGGCGTTCCATTTAAATTAAACAAGTTATTGGCGTTTAAAGCTAGAAATTTTTTAAAATACATTTTTAGACACTCTGTATGAGGTAGTATTATTTTTATTATTGCAACACGATAACTGATCAATAAATAAACTTCAGTAAATATTTAGTATTATAAACTTTGATACCCTTGGAGTAATGAAGCATTAAAATTTTTACTGCAATTTCACAAAATTGAAAATATTTCCAAAACGGTAAGGTTTAAGTGAAATAAACCTTAATCAAATTTACCTATATTTTAATCGTGGAAACTAAAAATGTAATAATATACAGGGTGTTCCATTAAAAAAAATACAACTTTGATATTTTTTATTTATTTGGGACAAAATATTTTTAAATTGTAGCTCTAATAGTCCCTCAACGAACCCAAAACTTACAATTTGTAAAAATATAATTGTTTAGCTACAATACTCCGTGTTGTATGTGGTGAACAACCCTGCAATGGTTTTGTTATAGGAAGGTGAACATTCTTCAAAGAAGCTAACCCAAACTGGTACTCAGACATCTCCAGAAAACGTCACCACCTCAGTGAAAGGACATTTCTCTATTGGATCTGTGAACAAAGAAGAAAAAGTTTCTCCCAAACTGATGAGGAAGGAGAGGAGTTCAACAAAGACCCGTCCAAAAAGAGCTATATCTCCTGCTAGCATGCACCAGTTACCTGCCGGACCCAAGGCTAGCTATCCAGCTACTGAGCCGGGAAAACAGGCAATCAGTCCATCGGTTGCTGAGTCTCTAAGAGCCGTTTTTGCTGCCTTTCTTTGGCATGAGGTAGGGGATATGTATATCCAACTACTTACCTGAAATTTCTTATCATATTTTATATACCGGGTGTTTGTTTTATCCTTGTATATCCTGTTTTCTAAATGGCCCCAGAGAAAGAAATCATTTGGCGAAATATCAGGAGACCTTGCTGGCCAATTTACTGTATGATTTAGGCCAATAACGTTTCCGTTAAAACTATTGTCTAAATATTCCCGAACAGTCAGGGTACTATGTGCCGGGCAGCCATCCATTTGGTACTAAACTTCCTGATTTTCCCTAGCGGCATCATGTAAAGTAGGTAAAATATGATTTTCGAGTAGTTCCAAATAATATTCTGCATTTAAAGTTCGCGTAAGAAACAATGGCCCGATAATATTGTGTCCGAATATCCCTGCCCAAACATTTACTTTCTGTGGATATTGCGTCCTTGTTTCGACAAACCTGTGTTTTTCTATGTTCCAATATCGATAATTTTGAACTTTGGGATCATTATTTAAGGTAAACGTGCATTCGTCAGTGAAACATATGTTTTTAAAAAATTCCCTATCCGTGTTTGCTCTTTCCATCATATCAAAACAAAACGCCTGCCACCGTATTTCGTCCCCATCTCGTAGCTCTTGGTGCTTTTCATATTTGAAGGAATAGTATTTATGTCGTTTCAAAATTCGAAACGCTGTAGTGTGATCTATTCCTATTTCATCCTCAAGTTTCCTTGTGCTGATCTTTCCATCGTTCTCTTCCACGCACAATAAAACTTCCACGTCGGTAGCATTTCTTGCATCTTCTCTTTGTTCCTGCCTTGCTTCACATCTGCAGTTATTTATTAGGGTACCTTTGGTCTCAAATCTCTGGATATTCCTGGCGATTGTAGATTTTCCAGGCATCGGTCTATTCGGATACAGAGCAGCAAACATGTCCGACACCTTTTGATAACTATTTCCTTGATAATACCATTTAATCATCAATACTTTTTCTTCGGTAGAATGTAATTCATGGCTAATATTTTCGATGTAGGTATGAGTTTTTAATAATAATAATAAAGCACTAAATAGATAAATTTCTGAAATGACAACTTCATTTGACAGTTATCTTTTACCTTGCCTGGTGCTCATAAGTAAATACAGGGCCATAAGAAAGGAGAAATATTTAAAAAGAAATCGGCGATAACTCGTAAACGGGCTAATCAAAAATATCTAAAGTTATTCTTTTGAATGTGGGTTTTAGTGCTCTTCAATAAACCTAAATAGAATTATTCTCTAAAATAATTAGGGAAGCCAATAATTGACCCCATTAAAATTTACATGGGATACTCGACGATGCAACACCCGGTATACATTGATAATCGGGAAGTTTTGACAAAATAATCTGTAGATAAAAATAACCATCTTGTATAAAAATACTTGTTTTGGTAAAGATTTTATCCATTAGTAGTTTTTGAATATTTTTTAGGGAATTGTACATGACGCAATGGCTTGTGCTTCATTTCTGAAATTCCATCCAACTCTGCCAAAACAAGGAGCGCAAGTCATCACACGTCATCACGAAATTCCTCTGGATAAAAGAAGAAAGGAGTTAACCAAGGAGGAAAGAGCTAGACAAAGACACTCGGTTGAGGTATAATAATAAAAAAAAAACTTAAATAAAACACAGAAATACTTTTATACACATTAACAGGTTAGCAATGCTGGTAACTACCTCCATATTCAACCAGCCACTTTAGAATCACTGACGCGATCAGCAGCGAACGCCAGTGCCAACAGAAATAGGTTCAGGAAAATGCCAGACAGTGGTACCATCAGGGAGGAAGCTGGAGGAGATCAGAACTATTCTTACCAAACTATGTCAGTTCTTCCTCCGGCATTGAAAAGTTTGGTTTATTTATGGGAGGAGCTGACTTCGAATTGTTTACAAAACATCAATGAACAGGTTTTTGATAATTCATATTGGGTGGAAAATGTAATATTAAAATTTTGATGTTTTCAGGCCAGTCCTGGCAAAGAAAAATCAAAGAAAATGGACAAATCAGACTCCAGAGAGAAGAATAATATTGTCGACAAAGATAACAAGAAAAGCAAAAAGAAAAAAATGCCTCCCAGAAATTATTTAGGTACTTTTTTTGAATTTATGGTTGAATTTTGATTTAAACTAGTGATGGGAATACCGGTTCCACATGAGTCGCGTTACTGTAGGGACCGTTCCTTAAAAATACCGCGACATAATAACGCTATTTTGTAATCGAGGTTCCGACTTTCACACAGTGTCGCGGTTCTCGCTTATTAGAGATGAGCAGAAAATCGCAAACTGCGATTTAATCGCAGCGATTGTAAATTCGCAATCGCAACCTGCGATTCCTTTCCATAGCAAACTGCGACTTGCGATTGAAACATCTATCTGCCGATTTTGAATTTTTAGGCTACCAATATTACACCAGTTGCGATTTGCAATCGCAGTGGGCACGCGAACGAAGAGCTGCGAACGAAAATCACAGCATTGCGATTTTCGTCCGCACCGGCGCAGCGGCGGCACTGAGCAGGCGAACGAAGAGCTGGGAATGAAAATCGCAACTGCGATTCTCGTTCGCACCGGCCGGCGGCGCCACGTCATCAACACGGCAGTGGGCAGGCGAACGAGGAGCTGAACGAAAATCGCAGCTCATCGCAGCCAGCATTGCGATTGCGATTTTCGATGGAACCGGCGCGGCGCCGCGCTGCATCGGGAGTGGGCACGCCAACGAAGAGCGGCGAACGAAAATCGCTATATGGCATAGCTATATGGATACTTTTTTCAGCCCTTTTTATTTATTACATTTTGTTATATATTATATTATTATAAACATTTTTATAACAATCCATAATATAATATAATTTTCTGAGTATTAACTAACAGTTGTGGATCGACTGCTATGTTAATTTAAATACATCCTTTACAAATACAATCAGTTTTTTTTTCATTTTAGAGAAATTTCAAATATAATAAAATGTGATATTGTCCTTTTATTTATCTAAAAGTTCGAAAGTTTGCACTTGCACTGGACTGGTCGTATGAAAGCCGTCAGCGTGTCGGCTTCTTTTGAGTTACATATACAGGGTGTCCCAGAAATAAGTGCAAATATTTTAAGGGGTGGTAGATCTCGATAAAAGAAACATACTTTTTCTTTATCGTTTTTTAAATAAGTCCAAAATAACGGAGTTATTTTACTTTGAAAATTACCAAAAAAAAAATTGCTAAAATTTTGAGATTCTCTGGATCTTTTCTGGATTTTCCTTCTTGCAAATTATGCAATTATCAAGAAATTATGTTTTTTAACTAAAAACTTAAAAAATTTCCAAAAAAATTTTCAAAAGATTTCGAATTTTCAATTTTTTTTTTCGCAAAAAAAACCTCATAGGCGTGTTTCTGGGGTTGAACTATATTACCAGTTAAAATATCTGCACTTATTTCTGGGACACCCTGTATAAAGAAAATGTTTTTAAAAGAAAAAAAGATAAAATAAACAGTTTTTTTTTCTAGTTATCTGTAAGGTTGGCGGCAACCTTTTTATAATAAATTTTTCGTTAGTATACCTACAGACTGTCGAAAAGCACATTCGAATATGTTGAACATTTTATGTATTTTTAATTTCCCTTTTAAATTTATTGGTTCTGTTCTAATCAAAAATGTTTAAAAAAAGGAAAAGTTAATTGTGGATTTTTTTTGGTAATTGATGAAAATATTACGTGTTCTGTTTTTTATTGAACATTTTGGGATTGAGCTTCCCAGTTTACAGCGTACCAATTTAAAAATATCAAAATCGCAATCGCAGGTTTCAGTCGCAGCGATTTATAAATCACAATCGCAGTTTCAACTGCGATTGGAAAATCGTAGTTTTGCTCATCTCTATCGCTTATGCAGTATTTCTGGCATTAGTTACCTACTCCCAACCAGTGTTGTCAGGTTCTTAAAATTGTACCAGCTGTTACAACCATTCGTGCCATGGACTTAGTTACAACCTTTGAATAAGAAAACTAAGGAAGGAGCATATCAAAAATCTTAGGTACACCGCGATGGGCCTCAAATATGGCCGACTTAAATTCCGGTTTATCAGTGTCGTTCTAATTTTATTTAAAAAATGTAAAACTATGATGTAGGGTAGACGTGTGGTAGACTCAATAATTTGTTGTTTTATTTTACGTTGTGAATAAATGTTGGTAGTTATTAAAATTGTTGTAAAATATATAATTCTAATAAAAATAGATAAGTTATAATAAGTATTTATTAACACAAACATCCGATACGCTACTGAAGCAGGTAAGTCAAATTAACGTATCTAAATTCTTTGACATCTAATCTTTGACAAGTAATAAATAAAAGCTAAAATGCAAGAAAAATATATAATTTAGTTAATTTAAGTGAATTTCATAAATGATCGGTTTACTACACGTGTGTATATTATATAGTCACTTACTAGCGAAAAGTTGTTCCATTATTTCACTCAATTTTTGCCGAGATCTACCGCACGCTACACAACCAACTATTTTAGAGTCTTTTTCAATAAATCGCGATAGTGTCACTGTTAATTTAAGTTCTGCTACAATTTCCATCTAGATTTACTACCTTTATACAACTATCAGTAGTAGAATAAATAATAAATAACATAAAATAAGCTCCGTAAAGACTGACAAATCCATAAAATTTCAAATCAAATTCAAATGTGTCAAATGAATCGTCAAACAGAACTGTCAAGGATCCCCACCCTAGAGAGCTTTTATGGTGGCTTTTCCGTCCACCATGCATGAATACATGGATAGCATTATGCTCCTTCCTTAGTCTTCTTATTCAAAGGGTACAACTGATATTGACGATGGAGAATTACCCTCTATAAAACCGTCCCAACTACTGGCTTTTGTCAAAGCCCTGGGACTGACATGATGAATTATAACTCAATAAAGGGAGAGACAATAGATCTGTAAAATCGCAGTGATTAACCCCCCTCCCACTCATTTCTACATTCTCCCACCTCAAAATACATTTTGCTGAGATTTATTTACTTTTCCACCACCTTTTTTCACAAACTGCAACTATTCCCAACCTTGCCGTTATCTCTGTGCTCGTGTAAATTCATAAACAATTTCATAGACAAATTTGTCAACAATACAGGATGACTAGAAGAATTTATGATAGTGGCAATACGTTAGGTTTCAATTTTAGAAATTAAACTATTAAATAAAATAAAAAAATATGCCCTATTCCCTAAACTGACGTTGTTTTTATTATTTAGGCACGAATAGATTGACTTAAAATATGTACAGGGTGGGTCAAATTCGACGCTTTTAAACGGAAACACCCTTTTCTATAGGAGATAGACGAAAACTAATATCGGTGTCTGGAGCTCAATTTTTGTCAAAAACATGATGGTGAAAACCGCATTTCGATATCTGTTACCGTTTCGGAGTTACGGGGTGTTTTTCAAAAATATGCAATTTTAATAAATCGCTGTAACTTTTTTGCTATGGAAAATTTTGTATTTTTATGAAAACATTTCCAAAGCACCTTTTTATGTAGAATTTAATGGTTTAAATATAATTTTTTAAAAATTAATAATTTAAGAGTTATCAACAGAAAATTTGATTTTTTATATGGGACACCCTGTATATTTTTAATATATTAAAAATAATTTAAAATTACCTTTCCAAAAATATAACACACTTGATATTTTGCTCGATTCCTCTTCGAGATATATAGTATATAAAAATTCGCCCGCTTTAAATGAGTAGGCTTTGAAAGGCACCGGCTGTAATGCAAAAAAATCTAGCTTTGAGCATCAATTAAAACGAAAATAATATTTGCTATGAGAGATTCAGAATTTTAACAATCAGAAATTAACATCAATACACATTTAAACTATATCTAATAACAATAAAACTAAATAGCAAACAAAGACATGAGATTTTGCTACAGGCGTTCGACATATCGACCGTCTTCTGTTATGGACAGACGGGGCAGTTTTTGAACATTTCTCGCGGAATTCATTAACTCAGTGGGGGTGAAAGATACCCTCTCATAACTGTGAAGTATTTCTAATTCTTGTCTAGATTATAAGGAAGAATAAGGAACCTTTATTTTTCCGCAAATATATCCACAGGATTAGATCCATGGGCACTAAGTCAGGCGGCCTCGACGGCCAACGGCTGGAATCTTGGTTAGCTATTCAATTATTGTTGAAATTGGATGCAAAAATTTGCTGATAACTTCAGCGCTCAGAAGCGGTGCGTCGTCTTGCTGGAAAAATATGTTTTCGAGTTCCATTAAGGGCATATCATCAATAAAGGGTCCAAAGCCTACTAGTTAAAAGTGGCGAACTTTTAAAAATTCTGTATTTCGAAGGGAATTATAACAAAATATCAAGTGTGCTATATTTTTGGAAAGGTAATTTTAAATTCTTTTCAGTTAATTAAAAATATAGAGGGTGTCCCAAATAAAAAATCATTTTTTCTGTTGATAACTCCTAAATTATCAATTTTAAAAAAATTATACTTAAACCATTAAATTCTACGTAAAAAGGTGCTTTGGAAATGTTTTCATAGAAATACAAAATTTTCCATAGCAAAAAAGTTACAGCGATTTGTTAAAAATGCACATTTTTGAAAAACACCCCGTAACTCCGAAACGGTAACAGATATTGATGTGCTGTTTTCACCATCATGTTTTTGATGAAAATTGAGCTCCAGACACCGATATTAGTTTTCGTCTATCTCCTATAGAAAAGGGTGTTTCCATTTAAAAGCGTCGAATTTGACCCACCCTGTACATGCATTTATTGGTATTCGATACTGTTTATTCGCCATCTATTCAGAGTGAAGAATTTTTATTTTTTCCAACAATAATTTAGATTTATATTCTTCTGATCCACGTTGTAACCGCTGCAATTTAAAGAAAAAAAACACACATTTGTAAGATAATTACATTTTTCTATCTTTTGTTCAGGGACGCGGCGCCCATATGGGCAAGGTCGTGCGGCGCACGACGGCGCCAAAGCCCTAAAGGCGCCTGCGGTCACGGACTTTAAAAAATAATAAAACCAATTTTTGGAACTTATCAACAAATTAACATAAAATTTAAGTAATACTTTTATCAATGAACGCCAGTTGTGAAAATATATTATCCATCAATGTCGAGCGCCGCGCCGCTGGTTATTGGAAATTTTGGCTTAATATTATAATACTGGAGGCGCCTACCCTTATTTCGCACGACACACTGGTCGATTTTCATTTTTTTTAAACAATAAAAAAATGACATAATTAGAATCATTATTTCATCATATATAAATACATATGCTAAAATTTTTATCTATATGCATGTTTTTATCTATATATATTTCTTATTCGTGGGAAAATTTAGAAGTAAAATGTTAATGTTTATGTCAGGTAAGCATAAAATCATTCTTACGTTATCCCCACATATGTTAGTAAAATGTGTTAGATTATATTTACTCTAATTAGGATTTTATTTTTAATCAATTGAGAGTGGCTTTACAAGTTTCCGTTTTTTTTTCAATCATATTTTCTTCTTTATTTATTCATATTTTTGTAAAAAGGTTTATTTACCTAACATGTATTTATTATCAATCATATTATACTAAAACACAGTAGTTAATTTATTTGAATTTGATAGAATGCCTATGGAGAGCGGTGTTTACCTTATAGAAAATGGCCCTATGTTTTTTAAAATTTTCGATGCTGAGAAATACAAAAATATATTATATTGCAACATAATATATTTAATGTTAAAATCAAGAACAAAGTTTAAACCACCTGTCAAAAAAATTCTTTATTGGTGATCGGTTTCGGCAATTCTAGACATCATTAGACCTTAAAAATAGATATAAACAATAAAACTTATATGTATAAATGTATAAAAGCAAATAACATTTTTATTTAATTTTAATTGCTTTTACGTTTCATCTTTCTAACAATGCTATTTTATACCATGCCTAGTACATTCCAAAAATTGCTATTTCGAAAATAGCGTAGCGACGGGAGCACCAACGTCAATAGTAACCGACCAAATCGCGACAGGCGAAAACGAAACCCTAGAAGCGCTCCAGCGTTCCTGCTGGAACGAAGTAAGTGGCAGCCACGCCGCGCCGCCGAGGCCGAGCGTCTATAGTCAGTTACAGCAGGGACCAGTTACTTCTGTTCGCGACAGGGAACTAAAACTCCAGGAGCGCGACGGCTGGAGCGAAGTAGGTCGCCGCCGAGGTCGAGAGTCGATGCCCATTTACAGCAGTGACTTCTGTTCGCGATAGGGAACTACAACTCTAGGAGCGCGACCGACGGCTGGAGCGAACACGTCCCGATCGAGATCGCGCGGCGCTACGGACTTACCAGTTCCTGATACTACTGTTGGCGACCGACGAAATCGCGACGGCTGGAGCTGAACACGTCGCTATGCGGTTACTACGGTTCGAGCTAACTTCAAGGGCGATTATAAATAATTTATTTGCAAATTATAAATAATTTATAATTTTGTCGTCATTATGATCGTCGTTCTTCAGTAACAGGTTCATGATTCGTTGTGGAGCGCGACACGACGGACGTTACAAAAAAAACCGCTCCAAAATCGCGTTACTCAAATACCGACACATCACTAATGTAAACCATTTTTTTTTCAGAGGATATAGGTCTTTCATCATACTTGCACTCATCAGGAGGTGACACTTTGTGTGAGCTGTGTGGTGATAGCTACCCTCATCCAGTGACGTACCACATGCACCAGGATCATCCAGGATGTGGCCAACATGCTGGAGGAAAAGGATACAATTCTGGAGGAAATTATTGCCTTGGATGGGCTGGAAATTGTGGAGATGGTGGTGTTCGTAAGTTATTTTTTATTACTATGCCATAAAAAAAACTGGATTTTTTTGAATTTCCTCTATTATAGCTGGTAGTTCTTGGTATTTGCTTTGCGAGCAATGCAGAGAGAAGTACATGAAATCTGGAAAGTCCAGTAACAAGCAGTCCTCGCAAAAATCAAAGACCATGGTGTACAGGAAGTCTTTGAACTCGAGGTCGATAAGCAGCGGTACTGAACAACATATAATGATGAAAAATAACGCGATGTTCCTTCTGGATTTAGCTAGTTCTGCAGATTGTGGCATAGGCCATCAAAGAAGGTCTTCAGCTAGTATAATGCCTTCAGTGTCCGAAAATATTACTCCACCTGACTGTTCTGGACCATTTGGACCTCTACCTCCTTTCCAGTGTCTACAAACACTGGGAGGGTACAATTTTTTTGATGAATCTCTGTTTTACAATGAGATGATTCCAAGATTAAACGTCCAGAATGGTTTAAACAATCAACCAAGTACCTCTAAACAACGAGTAAGATTGTTTTTATATCTCCAGATTTTTGTGACAATAACAATAAATTTTTTATTAGCCACTATCAGAAGTATCTTTGTCTGAAAACGAAGGAGACGCCATCAAGGGAATGAGGTTCCACAGATCTGTCTCCATGGGCACCAACGGAATTCCGTGGGCTAAGACTGGATACGATGGAGGATCATCATGATGCGAAGACGAAACAACAGCAGCTCGGAAATTGCTGGCGGTAAATATGGAGACTTTACATTTTTTTATTAATAAGTTACCAACATATTTTTCAGAAGCTGGATCTTCTTTACTGTGTAATCCTTCACCGGCTCTTCAAAAATTAATACCCAAGGAGGAATTGACTGCAATAGTTAAAACTGACATTTCCGAGTACAGGGAATGTCTAAATTTGCTCCAAAGGCCCGTTTTGCAGTTTGTAACTCAGCAGCACGATCTGGATTCTCTGAGACTATCGATGAAGCAAGCTTTAAGGTTAGTTAATAACATTTATTGTTATCGACTTTAAGTTAATTATCTCTTTTTAGGAAAGCGATGTGTAGGGTATATGCCATGCAAGCTCTGAATTGGCTTTTGAGGTCTGTCACACAACCAATATGCTTACATGATTTGTTATGGTGGTTTGTCACTTCGCTCACACCAATTGAAATTGAGATGGAGTCAGAGGAAGATAACAGACCTCCAAAAAAATCAGACGAAGTTAGTTTTAAAATCTATTTATATTTTTTCGATATTATCAATCCCTTGTCTTTATTTTTCAGGAATTAAACATCTGTGAACATCCATTATCCGACATCACTATAGCAGGAGATGCCGTCCATCCCTTGCCAGCAACCTTTCATTCCCTTCTGCAAACCATAGCTAACATTATGATCTTACTACCAATGGGCTCAGCACTTCAACAAATAGCAGTTAGATGCTGGGGACTGAAGTTCTCACCCTCTGATCACAGTTTTCTGCACAGATCTCAAGTGTTCAGCAATATCAGCAAGATTCTGTCCAGAAGTGAAGAAATAGAAGACTTTACAGTAAGTTTTTTTATTTCTTACATTTAATCATAATTATTAAAATGTTTTTTCTGTCTACTAGTTCGCTGTACCTTACTTTACTTTTTGCGAAATTTATTTTTTAAATTAAATAGAGGTATTTTAATATATTTTTCTTAGATATCAATGCACGAAAGTGCATTTAATCAACCAACAGCTTCAGTTGAGTGCCTCAAAGACCTGACGCAATCAGTTGAAATCAAAGCCTCAAGCAGACAAGCTATGGTAGGCAGTTTGACTGATGGATCTACTGAAACTTTTTGGGAAAGCGGAGACGAAGATAGGAATAAAACCAAGAGTATAACTTTGATTTGTGCCCATGGACATCATCCAGTTTTAATCTGTGTCCATGTGGATAACTGTAGAGACTTAGGGGTAAAATACTTATTATTTCTTTTATTCCAGAGATAATATATGAGTTTTTTAGAACAAGATATCAACTATAACATTTTATTCTGGACAAAACAGCGATGAACTGACCAAACTCAGGACTGTCGAGGTCGAGACTAGGTTACTGGGTGGATGGGTTAAAGGTTCCATAATGGGTAATAATAAAACATTTTTTTTACTTAATTTCTTTTAAATTTATAATTTTTTTTAAACAGAGAGTAATGATACAGTAGTCAAGTTGGAACTGAAAGGTCCAGATAACTCAGTTCGTCTGAGACAGATCAGGATTTTAGGAAAAGTAGATGGAGAAGTACTGAAAGTTGGTAAACTTTACAGTGCTTGTACTATCCAACAGAGGAATTGTGAAAGTGAGACTCTAAGGGTGTTCAGATTAATCACAGGTAATAAATAGAACAATTTGAAGGCTTCATAGGCATTGTTGAATGTATCATGTCAATTAATGTACTCTTAGATACAGGGTGGTCCGAACTGTATTCCTGAAACTTCGGCAGCATATTCTGTAGGTAAATCAATAAATAAGTAAAAAAGTTCGTATAAATGTATGTCCGCTTAGTTGTGGAGATACAGGGTGTAGAAGTTTCATTTTCATTTCGATTTTTTGCAAATAATTTGTGAAGTATCGTCAATATTTAGCTAAAAATTGATATATGGGAGTTTTTTTAACAAGATAAATTTGATGTATATATTTTTTTTTCAGTAGTTTTATACAGGTACGGACGAAAAGTTATTACTCTTCAAAACAGTTAAAACACATGTAGGTGGCGCCCCCTACAAATAGGAGTCATATTGACATCAATATCTAATTTTCCATGTCAAAAAACTCCCAGGCATAAATTTTCATCCAAATATTGACGTTACTTCAGAAATTATTTGGAAAAAATCGAAATAAAAATGAAATTTCTACACCCTGTATCTGCGAAATCAAGCATTTTAGGACATACATTTATACAAACTTTTTTACTTATTTTTATCTGCAGAATATATTGCCGAAGTTTCCGGAATACAGTTTGGACCACCCTGTATATTATGTTTCATTCAAAAAACGTTGATGTTTTTATATTGGTTTTAAGAGATAAACTTGCTAGAAATTCAATTATAAGATTGTTGATTATGTTGTAATTATCTTTTGGATAGTTTATTTATTAAAGGAATTCTTATAAATATTATCATATTTTTAGCTCAAGTATTTGGAAAACTAATACAGGGTGAGGAAAACCAGAACAATGCTTTGAACGGCGACACTTTATCAGTCAGTGACAGTATAGAGCCTCTGGAAGAAAGCAACGACCTCAGAGAGCACATGGTTGGAATTCTCTTCAGCAGAAGTAAACTAACCCATTTACAAAAACAGGTTGATTATAATATTTTCATATATTTTTTTAAACAAACTTGAATAATTTTTTTTTATCCAGGTTATAGTTCATATAGTCCAGGCAATACGCAAGGAAACCGAAAGGGTTAGAGACGAATGGGCTTCAAACTTATTCACCACTTCAACCATTTCATCTCAAGGCAGTTCGGATATAGCAAAGAACTCAGACACTTACTGCTTCGAGATGTTGTCAATGGTACTAGCTCTTTCAGGCAGTTCAGTTGGTAGAGCCTATCTGTCACATCAAGGAGGTCTTTTGGGGGATTTACTGGTTTTGCTGCACACAGGAAGTGCTAGAGTTCAAAGACAGGTAACTTAGAGTGAGTTTAATTAACTAAATTTTGTTTTAAATATTTGTTATGTTACAGGTTACGTCGTTATTGAGGAGAATGCTTCCTGAAATCACCTTGGAATTTTTTGCAAAAGTTGTGGGAGTGACTAATTTACCTCCGAAGGATTTTAACATTGTTCCTGTGGCTAACAAAGATTCTTCCTTGTCAAAGTTTGATGTAAACAGGTATAACATGATATAAAATATAGTCTGTTCAACGACAAGATCCTTGACAGTGATAGATGTGTCTGTCATTTTAATTTCAAAGTAGTTTATTTTATTTTACATAGAAATAAGTTGGTACAACTGTAATTATAAATAAAACAACTTACTAAATTGTATATCTTAAAGATTGATTAATTAACTTTAATCTTAATTTTTTTTAAACCAGTACCTTTTGACATTATTTTTCTGCAGTACTAAAATCCATTATTTCACCTATCGTGTGATATCGATATTTTATAGCTATTCCAGTTTTTAGTATATGTTTAGTATGATCCTTGTAGCATATACGAGATGGTATACAAACTTTATTGATGGTAACTTGATTGGTCTATAAGACTTTCTGCCTGGGCAGCGAGTATTAACTATAAACTGTGTTCTGGGTCTACAGTTAATTTTCCCTCGATTTTTCCTCCAATTGACTTCAAAAGACACAAAACACCCGAATAACACGAATCAAAATGCATCATCTTCCAAAACGCAGATATTTGACATAAGTTGACACAAAATCATAACCTATAATTTGGCAAGACTTTGACAAGCCTCAAAAATCTAAAGGCCAGTTCATACGCATCGGTGTCCGTTTGTCGTTCATCGTTCCGTCAAACCAAGAGAATTGAAATATGATCTGTCATTTTTGAAATAAACCAATAAAACTGGTTAAAAACAACAAGAGACGACGTATGACGGATTTATATTTAAACCCATCCATAGTAAACTTAAAAAATATTAGAAACTTTTTTAGTAAAATAATTAGATTGGTATGGGATGTCATCTGCTTTTCTTCTGTCATCGTCTGTCGAAATTTTTCCTGAGAAAAAAAAAACTTTTTCCTGAGAGTATAGCTACTTATGTCATTTATAGACTGTCCAACCTTGTCCAACCAATTATACTGAAAGACACAACTATCATAGTACACCTCCGATCACTGTTATACAGAGTGAGTACAACTATTCGAGATCTTAAATAATTATTACTTTTACTTGCAGAATCGGTATATTAGACATCTTTTTGAGCATCATTGCCAAGTCTCTAACGGTTCAGGTCAAGGTTAAGAGCAAATCCGGAGGTGGCAGCACAGCCAAAGAAGTTAACACAGTCAGTCTGGCAACGTCGATACAGTCTACGGATGACGTAGGCTCAAGATGGTGGCTCAGGGGATCGCCTAACAGGAAACTAGCTGAAGTAATCGTGCAGTTAATCACAGATATGAGCGCGGTAAGTCTTTGATATTATTTATAATTTTTTTCCATAGCAACTGTTAAATTTGCCTTATATCTATCAAAAATAGTAGATAAAATAGTAGTTTAACAGCGAGGATACGTTAAAAACTTTATTTCTTCTCGCACGTTTTTTAATTGCTTCCATTTTTGAAAACTTTTGTATTCCTTTTCATAAGTTATTCGGGATTTAAACGGAAGTAGTTTGGATATGGCGTTTGTCGCCTCAGCATGAATATCTGTTGGTAATTTACTTATTTCGTTTTGGGCGATTTCTGGCTCCAATTCAATCAGTAATCGACACGAAGAGAATTAAAAAATATTGACTCAAAACTGACAACTAAAGAGGCAGCTTTATTTATTTGTCAAATTAATGTCAGCACAATATTTTTTCTACTCGTAATAAATTCCTTGAAATAATCATTTCTGAATATTTTATAAAACGTGACCCGCTATGGAAAAGAAATATTGTTTCATACACGACGATAAAATTGCATTATTGTCTTGTATAAAAAATAACTAAAATTGGTTAGAAAAATTATATATTTTTTAGGGTAAAATGTCTGAATTATGGGCGAATATAACTAAAAGCGCCATAGCGGAAAACATATTAAATCTAACATGTTTGAGTGAAGAACAAAGATTACCAAGTGCCTGCTTGAAAACACCAACACTCTGGCTAGCTCTAGCCTCACTGTGCGTTCTGGATAAGGAACACGTCGAAAGATTATCTTCCGGTAACTATTAATATATACAGGGAGCTCTAAAATACGTTTGGTTAATTTCTAGGACAGTGGAGCAAGACTGAAGGCCACACAATACCACCTAGACCAATGTGTAGCAACCATGATGATGGTGAAACCACTGCTGTGGTCCAGTGCAACATTTGTGGAAATCTGTGTGCTGACTGTGACAGATTTTTGCATTTGCACAGAAAAACCAGAGGTCATCTACGACAGGTAAATATTTATCACGATTTGTTAGTGTATGATTGTCGGTTTATTAGTAAAATCCTTTGAATAAGAAGACTAAGGAAGGAGCATAATGCTATCCATGTATTCATGCATGGTGGGCGGAAAAGCCACCATAAAAGCTCTCTAGGGTGGGGATCCTTGACAGTTCTGTTTGACGATTCATTTGACACATTTGAATTTGATTTGAAATTTTGTGGATTTGTCAGTCTTTACGGAGCTTATTTTATGTTATTTATTATTTATTCTACTACTGATAGTTGTATAAAGGTAGTAAATCTAGATGGAAATTGTGGCAGAACTTAAATTAACAGTGACACTATCGCGATTTATCGAAAAAGACTCTAAAATAGTTGGTTGTGTAGCGTGCGGTAGATCTCGGCAAAAATTGAGTGAAATAATGGAACAACTTTTCGCTAGTAAGTGACTATATAATATACATACGTGAAGTAAACCGATCATTTATCAAATTCACTTAAATTAACTAAATTATATATTTTTCTTGCATTTTAGCTTTTATTTATTACTTGTCAAAGATTAGACGTCAAAGAATTTAGATACGTTAATTTGACTTACCTGCTTCAGTAGCGTATCGGATGTTTGTGGTAATAAATACTTATTATAACTTATCTATTTTTATTAGAATTATATATTTTTATAACAATTTTAATAACTACCAACATTTATTCACAACGTAAAATAAAATAACAAATTATTGAGTCCATCCCACGTCTACCCTACATCATAGTTTTACATTTTTTAAATAAAATTAGAACGGCACTGATAAACCGGAATTTAAGTCGGCCATATTTGAGGCCCATCGCGGTGTACCTAAGATTTTTGATATGCTCCTTCCTTAGTCTTCTTATTCAAAATTAAAATCTATGATGGGGGAGTTTATTAATTCTTGGGAGAATCAAGGGTGAAGGGGGTCAAGCTGTTACTTACTAAATCTCACGTAGGGGAGAGAGGGGTAGGTCATCTGCGACAGGTACAGATTTCTCATAATTTGGTAGTGTATGATTGTCAGTTTATAATCAAATTTCGAGGCATCCTCAAGGACTGTATATATTCTAAAGGACTGTTCGATCGCGTCAAATTGCCGCTGTCGTAGTCGCCGTGGGATGCTACGTCACGCGCTGACCAGCGCTCCACAGTGCGGCGGATGGTTATTCTAGCGGGACAAAATCTCAAGAGCAACGTTTGGGACTTGAAATCTAAGAACGTAGCAAATGGTCTAATATATAGCAACTATATGGTTAAATTTATTTATTTATTAACAACTTAATTTATTAATAAATAAATACATGATAATAAAACTATGATATTATTCGTACATGACACACAAAAACCGTATTGTAAAGTATTGCCAAATACATAAATTATGACCGCGCAGCTAATTAAGGGGAACCACTGTGGCTCTCAAAATTTTAGCAAAAAATTTTTTTTTTTGGGCATTTTCAAAGTAAAATAACTTCGTTATTTTGTACATACTTATTTGAAACACGATAAAGAGAAAATTCTTTTATCGAGATCTACTACCCCTTCTTGCACTTATTTCTGCACTAAAATGACAGCGATCTTTATTTCATAGCCAACGCTGACGCCGGTTTTTTTTTGATCATATTGTATTTATGTTCACAATTAAAAAAGTATTTTTAACATTTTTTTTTCATTTCAGGTATGCAAAGAAGAAGAGGAAGCCATCAAGGTCGAACTCCATGAAGGCTGTGGAAGAACCAAATTATTCTGGGTACTAGCCTTGGCCGATTCTCGCACCTTGAAAGCTCTGGTCGAGTTCAGAGAAGGCGGTACCCGTACTAGGACAGGAGGCATCACGGGAATATGTAGATTTTGCGGTACCACCGGAAATTCCGGACTTTTAGCCATCGGAAACGTTTGTGCAGATTCAGAATGCCAGGTTTTTATTTTATATAGATTTTTTTAATTCAAAGACTTTTTTTGAGGTAAAAAATTAAATGTAAAATTATATTTTACAAAATTTTTTTTGTAGGATTATGGTAAAACAGCTTGCCCGAAGCTTCAAAATTGCGGTCATATGTGTGGGGGAGTTTTGGGGGAAACCCAATGTCTCCCTTGCTTACACGGATGCTCAAACGACGTCAGCTTACGTCAAGACGCGGACGACATGTGCATGATTTGTTTCACTGAAGCCTTATCCTGTGCTCCGGCCATACAAGTATGATTTTTTTGTATAGTTTTGAATCAAAACCCAAATCAAACTTTTTAAAAACTTTTCTCAACGTTTTAATTTATTTTTTCTTGGTTATTCCAGCTTCAGTGTGGTCACGTGTTTCACCTACACTGTTGCAAGGCTGTTCTGATGAAACGATGGGCTGGACCGAGGATAACATTTTCGTTTTCTTTGTGTCCAATTTGTAAGGTAAGGATTTATATATACAGGGTGTCCCAGAAATAAGTGCAAATATTTTAACTGGTGGTATAGTTCAACCCCAGAAACACGCCTATGAGGTTTTTTGCGAAAAAAAAATGTTGAAAATTTAAAATTTTTCTTGACATTTTCCGGGAAATTTGAAAAAACTTTTTAGTGCCACTTGTTTATTCACCTGAGATTTCTCTACGGTGTATCTAAACCTTGCAGTGTTGCAACCTCCTATGTTATCCACATTCTACATAGTTCTACATTTATAAATGGACATAATTCAAAAATGCATGTATTTATTTTTGGGTTTGTAAATACACCTATCTTTAGAGGAATGTCTGCTGATAATAAAAATAGAATGTTCTTTTTTTATTGTTTACGAATTCCAAAGAAACAGAGATAAAGAAAACGAAAAATAATTATGTGCGTTAATTGAAAGATTAGTGTAAAATTTATTCTATAAGAGGCACTTTGTCATTTTAAGTTTTTTATTATTTTTAAACATTAAGGAGACTATGGATATTAATTTAGAAGGTAAGCAGTCAGTTACGTTATTTGCCTTTAGTATTTATTTAATTAAAAAAAAAAAAAATCAACTTTGACTTAGAATTACAAAAAAATATATCAATATAGTCCGAAGAAATTTTGAAAATAAAATCTTTAAACAATTTAGTTTAAAATGATAACAATCATTTTTGCGGAGATTTGCGGAATTTGCTATTTTTCTATTTTTAGAACAATCCTCTGCTATTCCCAACAGCATGTTATACGAAAAATGGGTAACTTGTAAAAAATAACTTGTAATAAAAATATAATATAATATATAATATATATATATATATATATATATATATATATATATATATATATATATATATATATATATATATATATATATATATATATATATATATATATATATATATATATATATATATATATATATATATATATATATATATATATATATATATATATATATATATATATATATATATATATATATATATATATATATATATATATATATATATATATATATATAAATATATAACTTGTAAAATAATAACTCAGTTTATAATCATCTGCTGATGATGCTAACATGGTTAGCGAAACGCGCGTCCAGTGTAAAAGTAAAAGTGTTTTGGTGTATTGTGGTGATTTAGTGTTTTTATTTTGCTGTGTAACACCAAAGGTTCCAACCCTCAACTGTAATATTGTAGAATTAAAATAATATACATCATGTTTTGCGCATTTTTGCGATTTTTGTTAATTTTCTATTTTTAAAGAAATCCTCTGCTATTTTCAATTTAGGATTTTATACCAAAAATGCCAAATATTTATTTTTAAATTTATAATATATTTTTTTAAGTTTCTAGCACATTTTCAAAAATACGTCAAATGTATTAAAACCATAGCAAATTCTTTAACCCTCTAAGTGGGGGTATCATCCCCCAATTTATTTCCAATGGAAATAGGGGTCAAGTAATATTTTATTAAGAGGACTTTAATTTATCTATATAATGCTGGTTATTTTTTGAAAATTAATCAACCCCTTAGGAAAATAGTGGGGTTTTTGAAATTGGGGGGGATGATACCCCACTTGAATGTTGAAGATTTCTCTATGGATTTTACCCTAAAATAACGTATTTTTAAAACTTGTTTAAAAAACCTTCCAAATTTCTTGATATAATTTATTTTGCATTTTTTTCCTTATTATTGATATTTCAAACCTCCATATTTTCAATAGGGGCTTATCGATTTTGGAGAACTATACACCAATATTTAGGTAAATAAAAGATACTATACTTTTCAATAAGGTATACTTTTCAATAAGGTATAAATTGGTCCCTCTTTCCATGTGAAAAATTTTGGGGGATGACACCCTCGCATAGGGGATGACAATTTTGCAATCATTTTTGGAGCAAAAGTTGGCTCTCTTATAAACAAAATAAATAAAAATAGTCGCAATAATTAATATTAGTTTGTTTTCAAAATATGAATTTTGACCCAATTCCCCTATAAGGTGCAACACTGTGCGCCGCCACCTGTTACGATCAAGAACATCTTCCTCTTCCAAGTTACGGTCCTCCATTGCCCTTCTGATGGCCTCATTCCAGGATCTTCTAGGCCGTCCTCTTTTCCTTTTTCCAGGAGGTGACCAGCTGTAGATACGGTAGGGCCATCTTTGGTGTTCCATGCGTAGCAAGTGTCCAAACCACTTAAGGCCCCTCTGTTCGACTCTATCCACTATTGTCTGTGTGGCATCCATTTTGGCTCTGATTTCCACGTTCCTAACTCTGTCCACTTTAGATACTCTCGCACTGCGACTCAAATAGTCCATTTCGAGTGCATTCAAAGCTCGCTTTTGTTCGGCTTTTAAGGTCCAAACTTCACACCCATAAGTTACTACGGACTCCACTACGGCTCTTCCAATATGTACTTTTGTGTTTGGTCTTATGTTTTTGTCCCACCAGATGCCATTCAGTGCTCCTATAATCTCCGCCCTTGTTCTATTCTAGCAGATACTTCTGTTTTGTCCTGTCCCTTTCTGGTTATACGTGCTCCCAAATATTTAAACCATTCAACCTGTCTGAGCTTTGCATTGTCAGTAATAAAAATGTCAAATTTATCATCTGAATTGGTCACTAGGTATTCCGTTTTATCAATGTTCACAGTAAGGCCCCATTCCGTGTATGCCGAATTTAACCTGCTCATCATGAATTCAAGGTCGTAAGCATCTTGAGCTATGACCACCTGATCATCGGCAAAATTCAATGTAACCAAACAGTCATCTCCTACAGGGACGCCCATTCCCCACACCTCTTCTTCCAGTCCCTAAGAACCACTTCCAAATACAGATTAAATAAAAGAGGCGTCAGAGGACATCCCTGTCGAAGGCCTTTAGTTGTAAAAATTACCTCAGACAGTTTGTTACCGCTCTTAACACGAGTTGTGCTGTTGTTGTACAGCACCTTAATTAAATTTATGAGACATTCATCCACATCAGGTTGTTCCAGTACGTACCATAGTTTAACTCTGGGGATGGAGTTGTAAGCTTTTTGAAGGTCTACAAAAGCTAGTTGTGTATCTTCTTCCGTTTTTCTATCAGTTGTTGGATAGTAAATAGATTATCTATACGTGAACGCCCTGCAGTAAAGCCACTCTGTTCTTAACTGATTTTGTTGTAAGTAGATATTTCTAACTTATTCCTAATTGACCTCTGTAGTTATTCGGGTCTTTTCTGTTCCCTTTTTTATATATAGATGTGATATAGGCTAACTTCCATTCATTAGGTATTTTATTCCGATCTACACACATCCGCATTACCCATTTCAGCCATAATACCACCCGGTCCTGGAGCTCTACCGTTTTTCATAGACACCAAGGCTTGTTTCCTCAATCGATATGTTTGTTCTAGGTTCTGCAATAGTGACGGCTTCATTGTTTTGCAAAAACTGTGGACGTTGTTCTGTTAATAGGTTTTCATAATGTTTCCTCCAATCACTTAAAGATATAGTTCCCGTCCATCGTTCACGCGTATTTGTTTTCATCCCCTTCAGAGTTGTCCATGCTTCCGTAGATCGTGATTCCCCAATGTAAGTTTCAATATCATTGCATTTTCTTTCCCACATACTATTCTTTTCCTCAGTTACTTGTTGTCCAACTTCCTTTTGTAACTTCTTATATGCTAGCCAATTTTCATCTGTTGGATTTCCTAACCAGTTATTATAATTCAGCTTCTTTTCACTTATCTTTTCTTCAAGCTTATCCGTCATCCATATAGGTTGGTTCTTGATTTGCTCCTTATATCCTACAGCTTCCTGCATTGCTTGATGTTTGATAGGTCGTTGGTAGAGGTATTTAATACTGTCATCTCCTAACAAGTTGACTTTATATCTTGGATTTGACAGAGTGACTTGCTCCGTTTCAGCTTCTGTTGTGTCATATTTGTTGAAAGGTTAAAATAAGCTTAAAATAAGTCTTATTTTCTCTTTTATGTGTTTTTTTTGGTACTAAAATCTAGTTTTTTCTTAGACGGAGATGAAGCATTCCACTTTAGAAGAGCTACTCGAGCCAATCCAGGAACTCTTCAAGGATGTGAAAAGAAAAGCGTTGATGCGTCTGGAATATGAGGGACTGCATACTGTGGAAGCTGTTATTACGCCAGGAGCACGGTTCTTCAATGATGCAGCTTCTTATGCCATGGACAGATATGCTTATTACGTTTGTTACAAATGCCATAAGGTAATAGAGTACTACTATTATTTTTAGCTGTTTTGAAGCTAATCAATTGATGTAAATAATAAAGTTTCAATAATATTATAACGGTATTATTTTGCAGGCATATTATGGTGGTGAAGCTAGATGTGACGCTGAGGCAGACGACAGGTACGACCCTGCAGAGCTAGTTTGTGGTGCTTGCAGTGACGTGGCACGGGCTCAGATGTGTCCGAAACACGGTGCTGACTTCCTGGAGTACAAATGCAGGTACTGTTGCTCAGTAGCTGTGTTCTTCTGCTTTGGAACCACCCACTTTTGCAATCCGTGTCACGACGATTTCCAGAGAGTCACGAATCTGTCAAAGAGCGAACTACCTTTTTGTCCAGCAGGTAAGTGGTACCGGAATATTACTGAGTTATTGTTATTGAAAATTTTGTTATTAAAAATTATAGTCTTTAGTTTTTAATGGATGGTTTTACTTCGTTGTACGTTTTCATTGAAGTTTGATACTTGTAACAACACTTTTTTGGATTTTTTAATAGCTAATAATGTTTTAGGACCCAGATCAACTCAATTGGAGGGTGATGAATGCCCGCTTCACGTGAAGCATCCCCCAACAGGAGAAGAATTTGCTCTAGGTTGTGGAGTATGTAGAAATGCTCACACTTTCTAAAGAGACCGCTAAATAAATATATTGGAATTATAATAAATAAAGAAACACATATTATAGTATACTATTATTTCTATTTATTTTCAAGTTTCACTGTCTAGTCAATATTATATTAAATTTATAGAGAAAAGTCATGCAAAAATGCTTGTTTCATATAAATAAAATTAATAAGTACTTTTATTTGAGTTTCATTTCATTCATATTGAGTTTCTGTCTTTTATTTTGGTTTTTATTTTTGTTCTTTGTTATGAAAATGAAATTACGTTTATTTAGGCACGCTAAAACCAAGGACTGTATACAGTACGTCTGTCCGTTCTGTAGCTACGGGGTATCCGTGAGAGGGGAAACGATATTCTCCCGATGTTTTTCGTAAAAAATTAGACGTCGCGTCCCATCAATAAAAATTCGACAAATTTGCAAGTAGCCAATAAAATGAGTGGACGGAGCGATTTGCGGTGACGTACTCGTCAAGTCGACGTATAAAAATATTGCTGTTTACTTAAATGTTTTTTTGTCCGCATTCCTTTCATAGACACAGATCGAGCAGACGTACTGTATATTCTAAAGGACTGTTCGATCGCGTCAAATCGCCGCTGTAGTCGCCGTGGAATGCTACGTCACGCGCTGACCAGCGCTCCACAGTGCGGCGGATGGTTATTCTAGCGGGACAAAATCTCAAGAGCAATGTTTGGGACTTAAAATCTAAGAACGTAGCAAATGGTCTAATATATAGCAACTATATGGTTAAATTTATTTATTTATGAACAACTTAATTTATTAATAAATAAATACAAGATAATAAAACTATGGTATTATTCGTACATGACACTACAAAAACCGTATTGTAAACTATTGCCAAATACATAAAATTATGATATCAAAAAACTCTTTAGCAGTTTTTTTTAATTAATTTGTAATCTTGTGACATTCTACGAGAGAAAAAAAAACAATGTTTTCAGATATTAAATTTTATTTTAGGATGTTTTAAATACAGGCTGTCATTATAGGGAGATTTTTGAAGGTCTAAAAGGTAGCACTTGTAGTGCTGGAACTAGCACTGGTAGTGCTAGAACCACTAGCTGTTGTTGATCTGGTACCACAGTCGACTCCGTCAGCGGCAAGATATCGAACTATGTCTGGGTCGTAGTAGGTACCGGCAGGGCACTGGTACCTGGTGGCTTCCCCGTTACTGCATTCATAGAAATACGAACAGTCTGTAGGGTCTTCTATGTATGAGAGATCATCTTCATCGGTAGGACAAGCTAGAAATAGAAGAATTATATGAAATGAACAAAATTCTTACAGCTTTAGTGTATTTTAATAAATAACATTTTCTTGCCTTTAGCTGTGTATTTTTTCTAATTTTGAAAAATCGAAAGTAGAGAAAAAAAATATAAAGTAAAAAGAAAATTGTTTTGCTTGTCGTAAAGGGGGGAACCAAGCTCCACTCCCACAACCGGTTTCTGGGCCTACCCTTCATCAGGTGGGCTGTCCAGGGGCTGGTTCTCACCATGGTACAAAGAAAACAAGGTATGATCGATAGTGGCTCCAATTTCGTTCGGAATAAATAAAAAATAAAGAAAGTTGACATTAAATTTGCATTTTTTAAGGTTATGGTTAAGAATTGTTTATTTTTTCAAAGATTTTTTCTGACTTTTTAGTTCGTTTAATTTAATAATTACTAAAACCAGCAGTTCCAAAAATATATTTAAAAATAAAAGACAAGAATCCAAAATATTAATTATCTATTAACATGGATTTGGACGATAATAGGTAAGAATACTAAATTTATTTCTATATTCGGTACAAAATTGTTTATTAGGTTTTTAGTTTGCGATGTTTATGGTAAATAATTTTCACGTTCATCGTCTCTGAATTGACATGAGGATATCTATGAAAAAGTAACCACAAGACGAATTGTTACATCATCTGATTGTTTTCCATCGAAAAGTAGAAAATGCCAATGCAGAAGAATGTATTATAATTGTAACAGAAGTAATTCCAAGGGTGAAGTTTATTATACTTAATTAGTGACCTGTGCTTCTTTTTATATGTAGATGTTTCAGGTTTTGAGAATAAATCGGTTGAACGAATCCCAAAATTTAGAGGAAGTATTTGCATACCCAGAATATACCCATCAAGGATTATAGCTGAAATTTCCTTTAATGGTAGGCAATTATTCAATACAAATTAACTTTTTGAGTGACTGAAATATTAAATAGTTTACAATATGGTATATCACTGTAAAAATATATTACTTTTAAGTACAATTAGGGCCCAATACATTTCAAAAAGTAGAATATTCAATCAATTAATATCTTGAATACATGGTTTTGATATTCAACTGCCTGATACTTACTGACTGCTCGGGTACTCAGAACGCAGGACACTGCCAAGAGAAATCCAATAATCAAAAAACTGGTATATTTAAATGCCATTTTTCGACTTTTTTTTAAATTTTTGAGTTAGGTGTTTACTTAAATAAGTGATATTTTTGAATATCTGTCTGTAATTTAGATTCTCCTTTATATACAGGTAACCGAACAAAGAACTTATCAAAATCAATTGACTTTGAATTTGTTGTTATCTTCAAATCTAGAGACTGAAGCCGGAACTCTAAAACAATTGAGATAAAACCATTGACTTAAAACATAATAAAATGTTACAAGAAGACGGACGTAGCCACTGGAGCATCTTAGTAAAATATAATCTTACACTTCAGACATATAACTAAACAATATTAACAAGTTATACGTTCGGTTTATAAGTAGTATTTAAAATTTTTATCTAAGGAATCACTATAATGTAGATCATACCAAATGAACCAATACCAAAATGCCCGTCTCATTTTTTCCACAGCGTGTTTTGAACGTATTGCAAAAAACAACGTTTTGATTTACCCCGGTATAAACCCACCTAACCGAAGAATATAAGCCATTAAAATAATAAAAAATAATGCCAATAAATTTATCTTCACACTGATACTATCTTAGACAAGGAAAGAGAAAGGACGGGTAACACGCATATTCTCCCGTGATCGGTTAGTGAAGCCAAAATTTGATCGGCGGCCATACTTTGGTGACAAGATTTCGAGGTGACACCGAGCGAATTTTTATGTTTTTTGTGACAACTGTTTTGTTTTAAATTTTTAAACTGTGTTATTTAGTATGGTGAGATGTTCAGAGTATGGCTGCAAAGGCCGAAGCGAGAAAAAAGTGGCTGGAATTACATTTCACAGGTAAAAATCGATACACAACTTTTGTTATGTGGTCATAAAATGTACATTTTTTTCATTATAGCAGTAAAAATATGTAAAATGCTTTTAATATGTCTTGTACCACATCCAAACCAAATTATTTTTAATAATTCCAAGTAGTATTTTCAATATCCTGTATTATAATTAATGTTTGAAACTATAAATATTGCTACTCAGACCGGATTTCACCAGTGGCGTAGGGAATTATAATCAGAGAAATACAATTTCTGCAATAAACATTTTTTTTATATATTTTACATGTAAAAAAATGTCTAAAGTATTGTTATCAAATATGTAAAATAATTGTAAACTATAAAAAAATGAAAAATTCTAGTGATAAAAAATCTATATGTATAGTTGTTTGGTTTGGTTTAATTACAAAGAGCATTATAATATCGCATTATCCAGCCATACCAAGCACGAACTATTTTTGAAGTTAACAATCAGGTTTGTAAAGAATGGATTTTTTTTCATGAATCTGGCAACAGCGTTGCGCTTAAGCGATTTGGCTGTCGCCTCTGCAGCAGCTAATTTCACGCTTTCCCTCCGGTTCCCCGACCAACTGATTTCAATGTGTGACGTTTCAGTTCATTGATAAAAAAAGGTCGGCAGAGGCGGCAAAAATTACGCCTCAGGAACGCAGAACGAAAAGATGCATTGTAGTCCAGTTAAAACAGAAACGATATGGCGCGGGCGGTTGGTTTAGACCGGTCGAAAAGTAAAAGGCTTGATATATTTTAATAAAATTATTCAATATTAATATTGCTATAATATAAATATACGATTAGCTGGAAATAAATTTGTGTACTACTAAAGGCTAGAATTTCGAGGTGAGGCGGCGCCTCAGTTGCCTCACCTGACGGGCCGCCACTGGTATATGAATTTTTAATATATAAACAAGGGTATTACTAAGAGGATCTGCTTAGAAAATAAAATACGGTTTTGGCTTAGTTATTACATTTTATTTTAAAGAAGTATTAAAGAATATGTGCGGTTGTTATATAAAGTTATTATTTATTAAAGTTATATATTTTTCTACTGACTGCCTAAAATGATGCTTCAGTTACTGGCGCTGGCGTAGATCTGGAGCCACAGCTTACGTCGTCAGCGGTGTTACAAGCGTCAACAGTTGTGTCCCAGTAGGTGCCCTTTCCGCATTTAATGTGGTAAGCTTTTCCGTTGCTGCATTCGTAGAAGTACTGGCAGTCGTCGGGATCGGGGTAGTAGGTGGGGGTACCATCTTCGTGGCCAGGACATTCTAGGAGAAAAAAAAATAATACAAAGTGGTGATATTTCGAAAAAAAAAAAATTAGAATTAAAAAATGGTACTTTTAAATTCCTGAACTTATTTGTTTACCAGATGAGTATTGTTTTTAACGGTCTCATTAAATATGTTTGTTTCTATGTATCTAGACTTTTTTTTATGTAAAAAATCCAGACATCAATTAGATATAAACGTTTTTTAGATAATTATATAATTATTAAAAGCATGATTAAATTTTCAACATAATAAAACTTATAATAGTTTTTGAAACTATATTACAAAACTAAAATAGTTATTTTTTATACAAGACGATAAAATGTTATTTTATCGTCTTGTATGTGAATTCATTTTGGGGGACGATAATGCAATTTTATCGTCGTGTATAAAACAATATTTTTTTCTATAGCGTGTTACGTTTTAAAAAATATTCAGAAATTATTATTTCAAGGAATTTATTACGAGTAAAAAAATATTATGCTGGGTTGGCGTTGGTTTCTATGTAATTTGACAAATGAATAAAGCTGTCTCTTTAGTTGTCAGTTTTGAGTCAATATTTTTTAATTCTCTTTCGCGTCGATTGCTGATTGAATTGGGGCCAGAAATGGCTCAAAACGAAATAAGTAAATTATCGACAGATAGTCAGGCTGAGGCGACAAACGCCATATCCAAACTGCTTCCATTTAAATCCCGATTAATTTATGGAAAGGAATACAAAAATTTTCAAAAATGGAAGCAATTAAAAAACGTGCTAGAAGAAATAACGTTTTTAACCTATCCTCGCGCGGCTAAAGTATTATTTTATCTACTATTTTTGATAGATTTAGAATTTTGTAAAAACTTGTCAATTCCTGGAAGGTAAACCAAGTACCAGTCGTGGACACCTCGCAAAAACATTCCGGAAAAGAGTTTTAAATGAAGAACAAGAAACCGAAACCCCCACGAGCAGAAATCAAAAAAAAAAAAATCAAATAGACTACTAGAAAAATCAAGTTTGTCCATCAATTACATAGTGAATTTATCAAACTGCGACATTAAAATTAAATGAACTGAAAAAAAACTTATTAAACAAAAATAAAAGTGTCATTTTTAGTGGTAATATTATTCTGTGAATTATTGTAATTTTTTTTTAATAAACATTTAAATATTAATTTCGATTTGATTGTAGAAAAAATGTTGTGTGCAACATGTGCAAAAAGCATATTTGTTGCACTCAGCAGGATTGCAAAACTCATGCGTCGTGCAACACATATTATGTAGCGATGAGAACTATCGAATGAATTAGACTATCGAATGGTTAATGAATGAATGATTTCAACTATCGAATGGTTTTATTCGAATAAAATCATTCATTCATTTGTATACTAAAGCATATGTGACAACCTCGCCCTGCGACTAAATGGTTATCGTTGAGTCACGACTATCGAATGCTTTTGATAAATGAAATTTAGTATTCGTTTGATTTTTGTATGCGTCAGTGCATTATTAGTTCTTCAAAATTTTTATAACTTCGCCGTATAAATACTGTGCTATTTTTGCGTTTTAAAATAGTTAAAATACTAAAATAGTAGTTATTTTTTAATTTTATTTATTGACGATTGTGTGCATGTGCAGGTGGTCAAAATTTTTCCGAAAATTTGTGTGGTTTTCCGTAGTCCGATCTTTCAATTATTTAATTTTATATGGTATATGGTCTATTTTTTAATGGGAAATTTTGAGAAGTAGCAATTTTAAGAGAGATGAGATGAACTTACAATTAATTTTAAAAATACATATTTGTATTTTAGATGTTTTAATAATATGAATTAGTTGAACTTAATAATCATATTTAAGTAATGTGGTTGTATAATCATATTTAAGTAAATGGTTATCGAACTCAAACTATGGGGTGAGAAAATTAAAACGAAAGTTTTACACGTGCCAATTTAAAAAAAAAGTTAACGATGTTTGTATTTTGTTTATGCTAATTCTCTTACATGTAGTTTTTTGCGAAGAGAAAAAATATTTCATTTATTTTTAAAGTAAATGCCAGTAAAAGTAAATATAATTTTTAAATAGTAATATAAAGCACCTAATATAAATAATTTTGATTTCTAATTTTTTTATTTATATTTTCCTTCCATTACACTGCATGCTTAGAAAATTAATAAATGTTTATATTTCATGATTTTAAAATTTGTTGTTAATATAACAAATTAGTTCTGTAATTATTATTATTTAATAAACCAACGTTGCCAAAAAAATTTAGAGACTATATTATTTTTAAATAGAATCTAATATAAATAATTTTGACATCTAATTTGTTGTTTATATTTTGCTACTACTTAAAAGAAAATATTTATATTAAATGATTTTAAATTTTGTTGTTAATAGGTATAACAAATTATTACTGTTATTATTATTTATTAAACCAGTCTTTGCTAAAAAACATTAAAAATAATTTTCTTACATTCAAAATAACAAGTATTATTGCAGTGTATCAACAGAATATTAATAAAAAAAATGCAGAATATATAAACATACTATCCCTAATTAACTAAAGCCAAACAATAATATTCTTTGCTAATATCAACTAATACCAAAATATGGCAACAGCGCCTTTCATAATGTATTTTCTGTGTAAATACTAGCACCTCAATAAAAAAAATAATGTGTCCTTATCTATATCTGACGCCGCAAAAAATCAAAGATGCCGGCTTCTTTCATAGCATTGCCACCGACCGCTGTCGGGTTTCTCGGAAAGAAACCTACGACGCCGGGCGACAACTAAAATTCAGTTAATATTTTATTATAATCGATCCTGACGAATGAATGAATTTCATAAATGAATGAATTTTATAAATGAATGGTTTTTGCTGCCGAATTACTAGAATACAATATTTCAAGGCAGATGACGGATCTATTCGATAATTTTTATTCGAATAGTTTTCAACGAATGTTTTCTTATTAACTATCGAATTATTCGAATGAATTGCAACTATCGAATGTTTCGATTGTATTCATTCGATAGTTCCCACTACTAATATTATGTCCTTTTTGCGCTAGTTACACAAATAACTATTTTTGCAAGATACATTGAACAAAACATTTGTGATTTTTGATATTCTCAAAAATACTTACTGACTGCTTAAAAATTAAATATGTTAAAAATAACTAATTTTTGTAATAAATGAAGAGCTGACTTCCATAGTATCAATTTACAATAAATACTATATTTATAATAATAAAAAATCTTTTTCTGAAGCATGTTTTTTTATACTAGAATGTAGGTACTTACTGGGGACGGCAGCTTCGGTGCTTATAATAAAAGACACTGCCAACAGGCAACCGAAAATCACAAAACTGGTCGATTTGAATGCCATTTTTGCTTCTTTTTTAGTTGTTAGACGTTGTTACTGAACTGAATCACTTTCGATTTTGATTTGCTGTTTGAACCACTTGCCTTTTATATGAATTAAAAAACGGAGGAATTTCTAAGGAATTTTGATATAATTTGACACCTCTCCCGCATCGAAAAACCCAAAAAACAATCAAGATATACTAATTTCTGGGAAATCTGATTTAAGAAAATGATAAAAAATGCGAGTATCTACAAAAAAAAAGAGTGAGATGATTTGTTAAGTATAATCTGGTACTTACGTTATGCAAACAAACTGTATGAATGAAAATCGTACCTTAAAAAATTAAAAATTCGAGGCCGTGACACACCAAATAATATATGATTTAAAGCTAAGAAAAGCATTATAATAAACTTGATACTGATACCGATTGATACTTGTACCGATATCCTCTGGTTGTGTACTAGAAAGTAAATTTTTATGCATATTTTCATCGATCGTCTAAGAAAAGTATTTAGCTAATTTGCTAGCTCAGAACTAGAATTATTAGGCAACTCGCATTTTCATTGGAGGACATCGTCATATTTATTTCAAAGAAATAATCAAAGAGAATATTCGTATTACTTAACAAAATTACCGTAAATCATTATAAATACGAATTGTTGGTTAGGTTCAACATTTTTTCTCTTCTTTAATAAATTTAAGCGTTAACGGAAGATTCAGGTCTTACTAAAGCTTCCCCAGGATGTCAATCCAAACTGCGGGAGTTTATTTCAAAAGAATTATTAGGGTATGAGCTAATATACACGGATGCGTCACTGGATCCTGTATCTTATAAGTGGTATTGGAATATACAATTTTTCTAAAAGATACTCAGCAATCGGCCGATGCATAAAGCACACGCCTATATGCAGTGCTGAAATGTTAGCCATTGAGAGAGCCTTATTGTGTCTTGGGGATGATGCAGAGAAAATTGCCATTCTGTCAGATTCAAAGAGTGCTCTACAGAGTATCACACGTTCGGATATTTCTTGTAGAGCAGGAAAAATAGCAGGAAGAATAAAAGAGCTAATTATTATTACTCTAACACAACAAAGAAAATCTATAAGACTAATCTGGATCCCTGGCCACTCTAATATTGATGGTAACACGGAAGCTGATAGACTGGCATCTCTTGGGAGAAAGTCCAGGAACCTGGTGAATAATAAGATTCATCATTCTGAACTCCTTGGCGTCATAAAGAAGGAAAGCAGACAGGAATGGACAAATTTATATCATAATATGGGTCAAACAAAAGGAGTCTTCTACTATAACATTGTTCCACAACCTCTCAGATCCCCATGGTTCGACAAATGCGCGGATGAAAATCGCGAATATGTCAGTTTGTTCTGCAGAATGAGGTCGTCACATTGTCTTACCCCGACTCATCTCCACAAGTTGGGTATCAAAGACACTTTGCTGTGTGAATGTGGAAGTAAGGGGGACCTTACGTACGTTATCTTTGCTTGTAGTTTGAGAGATCAAGCATGTCATACACTATACCTGTCTTTAGCTAGCTGTATGAGTTCTCCCATTAGGATTCAAGATGTCCTGAGGAACCCAATATCCAAAGAGGCAAAATTGGTGTATCAATATCTTAAGCAAAATAGTATTAAATTGTGAATACCTACGGTTATCTCTATAGAAGTAGAACTAGCACTACAGGTTTTAATCGAGAATAACATAAATATCTAGGCATTGTAGTTGTTTTTTGCAGCTTAATCACGCTTTGCATGTTCCTGCTTTGCTAGAAATGGTGAATAATGATGATATTTAACTTTCAATAATAAGTAATTTATTTTGCAATATATTCCTTATATTCATCCTGGCCTCTTTCCTTTGTGATTCCTGATCCTTCACTACCTTGACATAAAAGCCTAATTTAGAGGGCTCTAGAAGAGAATCATCCCACATCAAAGTGTAGTAATGAACAGAAGTTTTCTTCAATGCGCCGAAAGTCTCTTCAATTCCAGGCATCTGCGTCAATAAGACTAAAAATAGTCTTACAGGAGCTTTTTCAGGCGGGTCATTCCCTTTCAGTCTCACTGAAGCAGTCTAGACTGGCTGTGAATGTGTTACTGAAAAATTACTAGACCAAGATTAGAATAATCATTGATGAAAACAGTAATGGAAGGACACTCAACTCAGGAACTTGGAATACTCTAAAAAAAATTTGCCTATGACCACCTGCCCTGTTAATTTCCTAATATCATGGTCCTAATATCATTTTAGGGATATATTTTTTTTTACATTTATCTTTTTTTTTCATTTTTTTTTATTTTTATTTTTTTTTATTTTTTTTCTTCTTCTAGGTCTTTTAATTCCTCATGAATACCTTGCTGTACTTCTTGTGGTCCATCTGTTGTCCGTCCTTCTTGCCAGGTGTCATGCCCAGTACTTAACTACTTAAGGGATTTTGTTGATGATATCTATTACATATTTTGATAATATTAATTATTAAATAAAAAAATATGTAAAACCAATCGATATATTTTTAATATTATAATATGTTCATTCTTATCGTCTGAACTTTACCTACTTGAGTTAGAAGATTAATTCATAAAAAAGGACGTTTCGTTTACTTTTTATCAATGTTTTTGCATATTTTATCGTTTTTTTAGATGACTCTTCATAGAAATTCCCTCACGATAGGGTTTTCCTCATTCGGGCAGTATTTTCCAAAATCTTGATAACAAAAAAGAGGCGTTTTAAAAATTCCTTACGATTTTTAGCGGATTTTTTTGATATAAAAAGGGGAGCTTGGTCAAACAGATATCAAAATCGAAAGTGATTCATTTGAGTAACAACGTCTAACAACTAAAAAAAAAGAAGCAGAAATGGCATTCAAATCGACCAGTTTTGTGATTTTCGGTTGTCTATTGGCAATGTCTTTTATTCTGAGCACCGAAGCTGCTGTACCGAGTAAGTAACTACATTTGTAGTATATCAAAAACATACTCCAGAAAAATATTTTTTATTATTATATATAGATTTAATATTTATAATTACTATTTTTTAGTTTTGTAATAGTTTCAAGAATTCTTATAAATTTTACTATGTTGAAAATTTGATCATCCTTTTAATAAATATATAATTACTTAAAAGAAAAAAAAAACGTTTATATCTAACTGATGTATGGATTTTATAAAAAAGTCTAGATACACAGGGTTGTTCACCACATACGACACGGAGTATTGTAACTAAACGATTAGATTATTGCAAATTGTAAGTTTTGGGTTCGTTGAAGGACTATTAGAGGTACAATTTAAAAATATTTTTACAAGATACAGAGTGTCCCAAATAGGTAAAAAATATTATAGTTGTATTTTTTTAAATAGAACACCCTGTATATTATTCTATTTTTAGATTCTACGATTGAAATAAAGGTAAATTTGATTAAGGTTTATCACACCTAAACCTTACCGTTTTTGAAATATTTTCAATTTTATGAAATTGCAGTAAAAAATTTAAGGCTTTATTTCTCCAAGGGTATCAAAGTTTTTAATACTAAATATTTACTAAAGATTATTTATTGATCAGATATTGTGTTGCAATAATAAAAATTTTACTACCTTATACAGAGTGTCCAAAAATTTATATTAAATAATTACTAGCTTTAAACGGCAATAACTTGTTTAATTTAAATAGAACACCCTATATATTTTACGTGAATCGGATGCACAATGTAATTGTCTATCAAATTGTATTGTTCCATTTTTTACCCACCTCTTCAAGTTTTCATAGAAAATGCATTTTCTTATAATTTAGACCTCATTTATCACTATACCCATGGAATATTGACATTTTAGCTTATTTTTAAATCAAAGGGTACAGATACTAATATTGTCGATATACTTAGTTCGCTTATTTAATTAAAAAAAATAAAAAAAACTGTTCAAATATTTTTTGTTAAAGAGGACCAATTAATATGATCCCAGTATTCAAACTACATTATTTGACTGTTTACGTTGTAATAATAATTGCTCCAAATACTAAAACTGAATTTTGTGTATGTATTAGACAGTGTGGTAAAAAGGAACACCTTATAAATTTTACTTCATTTATTGACGAATGCTTATTTATAAAAACACAGATATTCATTTTTATAACTTATTATTATATTGATTTCTGAGCCAAATCCACATTTATTTAGAATAATTTTTTAATTAAAACAATTTATAAGTATGTAATTAACTAATTTTTGGTGTTTTTGGTAGAAGATAATGATGGTATATTTAATTGGTATACTCTTTTATAAATATTTAAATAGTTTATTTTGTATACCAATGGGCTTGCAATATTTACCACCTGTACATTTTGTACATATTATGGTGCTATAAAAAAATCTGAAATGTCAATATTCCATGGGTATAGTGATAAATGAGGCCTAAATTATAAAAAAATGCATTTTCTACGAAAACTTGAAGAGATGGGTAAAAAATGGCATAATAAAATTCGATAGACAATTACATTGTGCATCTGATTTACGTAAAATATATAGGGTGTTCCATTTAAATTAAACAAGTTATTGCCGTTTAAAGCTAGTAATTATATAATATAAATTTTTGGACACTCTGTATAAGGTAGTAAAATTTTTATTATTGCAACACAATATCTGATCAATAAATAATCTTCAGTAAATATTTGGTATTAAAAACTTTGATACCCTGGGAGAAATAAAGCTTTAAAAATTTTACTGCAATTTCATAAAATTGAAAATATTTCAAAAACGGTAAGGTTTAAGTGTGATAAACCTTAATCAAATTTACCTTTATTTCAATCGTAGAATCCAAAAATAGAATAATATACAGGGTGTTCCATTTAAAAAAATATAACTATAATATTTTTTACTTATTTGGGACACTCTGTATCTTGTAAAAATATTTTTAAATTGTAACTCTAATTGACCTTCAACGAACCCAAAACTTACAATTTGTGAAAATCTAATCGTTTAGCTACACTACTCCGTGTCGTATGTGGTGAACAACCCTGTATAGTATAGTAAATTTAATGAGACCGTTAAAAACAAAACTCTTCCGGCGGTAAACAAAGAGGTTTAAAGATTTAAAACTACCATTTTTAACTCCAATTGTTTTTATTTCTAATTATCCTCACTTTATATTATTTTTTATTCTAGAATGTCCCAGCCACGAAGATGGTACCCCCACCTACTACCCCGATTCCGACGATTGTCAGTACTTCTACGAATGCAGCAACGGAAAAGCTTACCACATTAAATGCGGAAAGGGCACCTACTGGGACACAACTGTTGACGCTTGTAACACCGCTGACGACGTAAGCTGTGGCTCCAGATCTACGCCAGCGCCAGTAACTGAAGCATCATTTTAGAAAAATATATTCAACTTTAATAAATAATAACTTTATATAACGACCGCACATATTCTTTAATACTTCTTTAAAATAAAATTTAATAACTAAGCAAAAACCGTATTTTATTTTCTGAGCTGATCCTTTTAGTAATACCACAGAACAGATACAATAATACCACAGTTTAAATAATATAAATATATCAGTTGGCCCACTCTTCGCCCGTATCAAAATTCCTCCCGCCGGTCCTCGCCTGTCCTGTAGACTTGGGCCAGTCTACATCCGTTGCTCGACGTGTACACAGCGTTCCAAGTTTATTTTAGTTATGTTTTCGGTCCGACGCATAGGGTGAACCAAAAATAGTGTTTTATTTTGTTCGAATTGTGAATAAAATGTCTACTAGAAATATTTGTGCAGTGGATGGTTGTGAAAGTAGAATGACAGACAATATATCGTTCTTTAGGTGCCTTAATGATGAACGAAGGTATATATTTATATAGTATATGATATTAAGTATATAATAATTAAAGTATTAGACATATTAAGTATATTATAATTATGGAAACCCAATTATGAATAAATTGTTTTAAAAATATACATATGTATAAATTAGAAAAATATTTTACTCGAAATATGCACAAAATATTTATTTTTAACAATAATTAGTTTATTATTTTAGTAGATATTTTAGAGTAGTAGTAGATACTTTACTATTATGTTTTGGATTTTCCAGTATTTACCGGTTGGCAAAATGCATATTAAATTATTTTTTAAGATATTTGCATTTTTTTAAATACAGTAAAACTTCCATATAGCGGCCACAAAAATTTTCAAAGGAATGTGGCCGTTAAGGGAAGTGGCCACTATTGGGAACAATAAAATACAGATACCAATGTAAAATGCCTTTATTTTGGAAACGTGCAAAGTAATTAAAATTAAGTACGAGCATGTAGTACAAACACACAATAAGTGTTAATAAATGATCTTCAGTTTTAGATTTTTGGCACAAAAAAATAATTCAGTTGTTACAAAAAAACTTTATTACATAAGAATTTTTGAAAAAAAAAACTTACAATGTATACATATGTATTTTACACATAGGTATTCTTATATACATATGTACAATTGACTTTAAAAAGTTACAAAATGATAACCTTATTTTATATGGTGAAAAACTGATTAATGGTAGTCTGCTTTAAATTTTTAATTTTGATTTTTGTAATTTCACTTTCAAATTTCATCAAAGTATGGGCAATATCAACCGCTAGTTCGTCTTTGTTTTGAATCACCAAAAAATTCTGAATGTCTCTTAATTTTTCACATACTTCACTCATATTATTTATAGATGAACACAGAATGTCTTGGCCTTCATCTTCTTCCTCTTCGGCTTGAGTGGAGTCCTGTCTGTCCTTGTTATTTGTAAATTCCTGGATTATTCCTGCATCTCTAAACTAGGATTTTCCGTAGGGACATCTGAATCGACTGTCAGATATTCTTTAAGATCTGGACTTCCTGGCATGTTTTTTAAAATTGAAGATAACTGACTTAAAGGAATGTCGTCCTCTTCGTCAAATGCATCGTCCCTTTGACGGTTGCAAATCCCTTTTTGGAAACATTTTTTATAGTGTTCGATGTAACATTTTTCCATGCTGTACTTATCCACACCATAGTACTTGCCAAATTTATGCTCTCTTTAGCCTTTTCCATCGTTTCTTCGGTATTAGTAAAAGTCAAAAGTCTTTTAATAAAAAATTGACGATATTTTAATTTAAAATTTTGAATAATTCCTTGGTCCAACGGCTGGCAATGAGATGTCGTATTTGGAGGAAAAAAAATTATACGAACATTTTCAAGTTCTATTTTTGGGTGAGACGTAACCAGCCAGTTGAAGCCTTAAATTCACTAAGTTTCAAGGATGTAGATAATAACAGAAGTGACCGCTTTTTAGAAGTGGCCGAAATGGGAAGTTTTACTGTAGCATGTTTTGCTTTTTAGATGTTTATATTTAACTTTAACTACCTACCTGGAAAGTCCAAATTTTATCGTCAGGTAATAAAAATACGTGCATACAACTTGTTCTGGCTAGTGACAAGTTTTTTAGAGTTTTTACTAAATTTTATGTAACAGTAAATATAACAATTGACGAGCACATGGGAAAAACGATGAGTATCCAGAAATAGGTAGACACCACGTAGACTAAATGCACCACTCTGTAGACTAGAGTCTTCTGAGTTATTACTCTTATTATCTACAGGATTGCAACTTATAACGACCGTATATGTTTAAAATTAAAATATTTTAAAATAAAAATGTTATTTCTGTAAATAATGTATTTTATTTCCCTTAAAACTACTAACATTTCAGATGAAAGCAAAGAATTATTAATATAAAATAAAACACGGGTTTACTAAACTCATACTTTTATTAAAAATGTTTGAAATCCAGGAAAAAGTATTATTTTTTCTCTTTTTTGGTCCAAAAAGTTGAGAATTTCAACGTGATTGTGGAATAGGTCTGCTACCACAGTCCACATCTTTGATATAGTCACAAGTCTCTTTTTCTATTTGGTAGTACGTGTTTGCTGGACAAGTAACTTTAACAGGCTTTCCATAAGCACACTCGTAGAAGCTAGCGCAGTCATCCAAGTCAGCAATCAGTGTGATGTATTCACCATCCTCTGCTGGACATTCTGAAGCTGTATAGAAGAAATGATATTTGCATTATTATTTTTTGTGTAATTTCAATAAACTAAATATGTCGCAAATAATATAATAAAATTACTTTACCTGGTTCAGCAAAAGAGACAGCAATTAGGACAGAAAACAGCAAAGCAATCACGAATGATTTCATGGTTAAATTATTGTTCGGTTTTTGCCAATAATATATGTTTACACAACAAAATAACAACTTTAACTGCACTTGGCAAATATTAGTGGGGCACTTTTATACTTACAGTTTATTTTTAAATTATCTTATATTTTTATTTTGTATTAATTACACTTGCACAGAATTAAGTGCAAGATATATTTATTTTTACTTAGTACTGCTTTTGAGTGGGTCTTTAGTACACAGTAATATACACAAATAAGATTTAATAAATTATTATTACACTTGTTCTGAAAAATGTAAATTTTAGAATTTATAGTTTTTAAGTTCTTTAAACTGTATTGAAAAATTATTAATTTTTCAACTTTTTTCCATTAATTCAAAAGGGTTGGTTTATTATTTTTATAAAATATCATTAAGATATCTTTTTTTTTACAAATATAATGCAACAAATAAAATATAATATGATAGTAAACAATTCCCAGTAAAATCTTATTAAAGTTTTCAATCATTTTTTTTAATCCCTGACACTTGTATTTGTCAAGTTTGGATCTTTTTTAGGTTAATGCCAACAGAATGTTTCGCAAGATACTGAGAAACAGTTCATTTTGAAAAGACCTTTATCGATAATATACTTTAAATTTGTATTGTAGGTTTTTAATTTAGCTCAAAACATATACAAGTGAATACATTACTACAAATTCTAACTTAAAATTATGTACTAGATTAGATAAAAATTGCTTTAAATGTTTTAAAATCTCTTGAAATACTAAAAAAATCGAGTACGCTATAGCATATTATCTAATCTTGTATGATATACAACTATAGTGGAAAGTGTCAACACAAGAAACACTAATAATCTTTAAAAATACGTGTCTTGGACTGTACATTGGTATAATCTTCGTCAGCAGTGATAGAATAATGGGCATTTAAGTGTTTGAACAATTAAACAATTATTTATTATTATAATTAAATTGTTATTCCCAAGCAGCATTTGGGACAACGTTGTGTCACGCGACCAAACGTCGGGGCGCAACGTCGCCACAACCTCGTGCCAACCCTAGTCTGCACTAGTTTGGAGAATAATTTTTGGGTCGAAACGACGTTGGATACCGACGTTGGCTAACAGCCTAATTTAGTACAAACTGCAACGTTGTTTAAAATCCTAATTCACAGAAATACAAAACTACAATAATATGGCGTCTAAGTCGCGTTTTATCCTAAATTAGGATAATTATAGTAAAAATATTATTTTTATGATTTAGTTAGAGACATATGCCAGATGGCAGTAAAAGAAAACAAAACAAAAGTATTTAAGTGTGGAGGATGTTTGAAGATCATAATTATTGAAACACTTTAACCAACTCTGTAACTCGGTACCCAAGGCAAAAAATTTAAACGCAAACAGCTTTATTGATAAATGTATTGTTTCTGCTTTGAAAAATACTAATGGGCCTTAAAATTAAAGAAGTTTTAAAAAATTTCTTGAAATTTTTTTTAGTAAAATGAGAATAATTTATTCGCGGTCGAAAAAAAATTGTTTCCGCGTGTTGTTTAGGGTCAAATATTTCAAGTTAATGTATTCAAAAAGCAGGAATTGCTATTTTATGAACGAAACATTTTCTTATTCAACAACATGACGGCTTTCACTTTTTTGTTTTGGAGATTAAGATGGAGTAGTTCGAGTAGTCACATACTGGACTAATAAAGTCGCAGTTCGGCCTTAACAGGTAGTATACTAGTCGCAAGATTGCCTAATTTAGTCATCCTAGAGTCTAGCTTGTACCGCCCTCTATATTCTAAATAAACGAGGGAGTGGATAAAGTATCGGTAATATGTCGATGTATATTTAAATTTAGTTTTATATGTGCCTTTCTTACGTCCCATTTTAATTAAGTTTTTTATAAAAACAAAAACAGCACTGAACTGTCTGACTGAACAGAACAATGAAGTGAAAATTTAAGATTTAAGGTTATGGTTCAATACAGTTGCAAAAAGGTAGTAGCTCGACGTCCTACCAACGTAAGAATAAGGAAATCTAAACAACGTTGGAATTAGTAAAACAGACGACGTTTGCGCAACGTTGGAATAGGTCCTGAAAGCATTGTAACTACGTTGTCCGAATAACCTAAAGATCACTTAAGCAAAAAAGATTACAAGACAACGTTTATTCGACGTCGCAGAAGCTTTTACTTTGTTGTAGTACTAGTTTAACGTCGGCACAACGTTACAACAAGGTTTACATTTATTTTAATACGGTACGGAGCTAACTATTTTTTGTAACTAATCCAACGTTGTGTTTAGTAAACATGTGGTCGCAAGTCGTGAAAATGCTACTTGGGATTCTATTGAAGATTTACAAAAAACTTTTGGCAGGACCAGCTGTAGTGGGACTGAGTGTTGTTGACCTAGTACCACAATCCACGGTACTGGCAAGTTTACAACGGTTGATGGTTGTGTCGAAGTACGTTCCAACGGCACAATGGAATTTGTGGGCTTTTCCATTACTGCATTCGTAGAATACTGAACAATCTGTAGGGTCTTCTAGGTAGGTCGGGGTACCATCTTCGTGACCAGGACAAACTGAAAAATATTAAATGTAAAATAGTTAAATTAAAAAAAATCAGTAGAAAAATAAAACATATAGATTATACCAAATAAACTTTTAGCGACGTCATTCAGCGTTGCCAACTTTTACATATTTTCTTTTAATCAAAATATTTTAGAAAACAAAAATTTAGTAAATATAAATATACACTGAAAAAATATTGTTCGTAATATTAATGAACATTGATTATTAACTGTTGTTTCATTGGGACAATGATTTTTTTCATTAATATAATGATTTGTATAGATCGATGTCCGATTTATTAATACTATGAATCTAATTTCATCAATGTAATGAAAATCTGGTTATTAAATTAATGTAAGATTTTCATTAATTTAATGAACGCGTTCATTGTCCCAATGAACGCGTTCTTCAGTTCATAGAGTTAATGAATTACTTTTCATTGTGCCAATGAAATCGTTCATCGGCTCAAAATTAATGATTTAATTCATTATATTAATGAAATTTTTCATTATATTTATGTCGACTTTTGGTTCAGTGTATAAACAGTTAAAATATTTACATCAACATAACTCAATTCCTTAACAGCACTTGAAGGACATAAAAGGCCATTTTCATCTTTCAGTTTTCCCGTTCAAAATATCCTTATAAGGTTGCGATGAGTTTTTTGTAACGGCTATTAAGCTATCTTGTACCCACTTCGCACTAAAAGAGGTTCTAAAAGAACAATGTTCGACTGCCAGGTCTACTAGTAATTTTTTAAGATTAAAGTATCACAAAACAATTCATTTAAACCAAAACGGGTAACACAAAGTGTCAAAACAAATGACAATGTCAGGAAATAAATAAATAAACGTTTCAACTTTTTACAGCAGAACTACCACCTGAATCCCTAGCGAGAAATTTAAATTCCAGTTAGTCAGCCCTGCGCCGATTATGTCCAAGGTTGACCGAGAACCGATCCTGGGACGGTAATTTCTAGTCGTCCACTTATTGTTTGAAAAGTTTGATCGTTTCTCAAGATTAACAAATGAATTGACTGATAGGAAATTACCGTTCTAGGACGGTTCTCTCGTCCGGTTGGAACAAACATATTATATAAATATACTTATTATTGTTTAACTATTTTATTTAATTACGCTTTGTATATACCTACCTGGTTCAGCTAAAGAAACAACAATTACTACACAAAACACTAATGCAAAAACTACTGACTTCATGATTTTGAATAAATGCTTTTTACAGATGTATGTTTACAGATATAGATTCAAAATAAAATGTGCTTAATAAATTTTAGAACTGTACTTTTATACCATAATGTATTTTTTCTTTAAATTATCTTATTTTTATTTTGCAGTAATCAATAGCTGCATTACATTTATTTCAGATATATTTATCATACTTCAATATTGATTTTAATTGAATAATTTATACAGGGTGGAGTGGAGAAATTACACTAAAATTACAAAATATTGATTAGTATATTTTAAGTATATTTAAATATCAACAATTCAGATCTGTTAAAGGCTTGTGCCAATGAATCTCTTAAAATAATGTCAATTAAATAATATAAATACAACATAAGCAATCAAGTCATTTCCCTTGATTATGGATTGGAAATGGTGGAGATGTTTTTGAAGGCATCTTGGTGAATATCAACAATGGGCCCCAATTTAACCATGTCCGTATCTACTACGATTTCCGAGATACCAATGCTCGTACCTCGAATTTGCAGCACCCTATATAGTGTATTGAAATTACTAAAACAAATAGTATACAGTATTATTAAATTTTATTATTAAAAAATATCAAAATTGTAATCACAAAACTTAATAGGTACCATTTTAAACAACCATCATTACATTTTTAGAATATTCTGAATAATAATAATTTTGATTAATCTTTATACAGGGCGAGTCTTAAATAAGTGCAAATACTTTTATACAGGGTTGTTCACCACATACGACACGGAGTATTGTAATAAACGATTAGATTATTACAAATTGTAAGTTTTGGGTTCGTTGAAGGACTATTAGAGCTACAATTTAAAAATACTTTTACAAGATACAGAGTGTCCCAAATAAATAAAAAATATCAAAGTTGTATTTTTTTAAATGGAACACCCTGTATATTATTACATTTTTAGTTTCTACGATTAAAATAAAGGTAAATTTGATTATGAATCTAATTTCATCAATGTAATGAAAATCTGGTTATTAAATTAATGTAAGATTTTCATTAATTTAATGAACGCGTTCATTGTCCCAATGAACGCGTTCTTCAGTTCATAGAGTTAATGAATTACTTTTCATTGTGCCAATGAAATCGTTCATCGGCTCAAAATTAATGATTTAATTCATTATATTAATGAAATTTTTCATTATATTTATGTCGACTTTTGGTTCAGTGTATAAACAGTTAAAATATTTACATCAACATAACTCAATTCCTTAACAGCACTTGAAGGACATAAAAGGCCATTTTCATCTTTCAGTTTTCCCGTTCAAAATATCCTTATAAGGTTGCGATGAGTTTTTTGTAACGGCTATTAAGCTATCTTGTACCCACTTCGCACTAAAAGAGGTTCTAAAAAGAACAATGTTCGACTGCCAGGTCTACTAGTAATTTTTTTAAGATTAAAGTATCACAAAACAATTCATTTAAACCAAAAACGGGTAACACAAAGTGTCAAAACAAATGACAATGTCAGGAAATAAATAAATAAACGTTTCAACTTTTTACAGCAGAACTACCACCTGAATCCCTAGCGAGAAATTTAAATTCCAGTTAGTCAGCCCTGCGCCGATTATGTCCAAGGTTGGCAACAATGATTTTAAAAATGGCGCCCTCGATTACGTAACTAAAAGTATAATTATAGTTTTAAATTTTAATTTAATAAGTTAGAAATTTTTATTATGAGCTACACTTAATTATAATATATAAATATACTTATATATTATTGTTTAACTACTTTATTTCAATACGCTTTGTATATACCTACCTGGTTCAGCTAAAGAAACAACACTTACTACACAAAACACTAATGCAAAAACTACTGACTTCATGATTTTGAATAAATGATTTTTACAGATGTATGTTTACAGATATAGATTCAAAATAAAATGTACTTAATAAATTTTAGAACTGTACTTTTATACCATAATGTATTTTTTCTTTAAATTATCTTATTTTTATTTTGCAGTAATCAATAGTTGCATTACGTTTATTTCAGATATATTTATCATACTTCAATATTGATTTTAATTGAATAAATTTATACAGGGTAGAGTGGAGAAATTACACTAAAATTACAAAATATTGATTAGTATATTTAAGTATAATTTTAAGTATATTTAAATATCAACAATTCAGATCTGTTAAAGGCTTGTGCCAATGAATCTCTTAAAATAATGTCAATTAAATAATATAAATATAACATAAGCAATCAAGTCATTTCCCTTGATTCTTCTTCTTCTTAAAGTGCCTTCTCCATTCAGTGAAGATCGGCAACAACCATGGCAAATTCCTCTCTATTTTTCGCTCTTCTCAGCAAAGTATGTGAGTCCAGGCCTGTCCAATCTCTGATGTTCTTCAGCCAGGAGCATTGCCGTCGTCCGGGTCCGCGCTTTCCCTCAATTTTACCCTCGATGATGAGCTGAAGGAATTCATACTTGCTATGTCTCATGATATGGCCCAAATAGGCTGCTTTCCTCTTTTTTATTATGTCGAGGAGTTCTCGGTCCTTGTTCATTTGGTTTAGAACTCGTTCATTCGAGACACGGTCAGTCCATGGTATTCTCAGCATTCTGCGATATACCCACATCTCCCTTGATTATGGATTGGAAATGGTGGAGATGTTTTTGAAGGCATCTTGGTGAATATCAACAATGGGCCCCAATTTAACCATGTCCGTATCTACTACGATTTCCGAGATACCAATGCTCGTACCTCGAATTTGCAGCACCCTATATAGTGTATTGAAATTACTAAAACAAATAGTATACAGTATTATTAAATTTTATTATTAAAAAATATAAAAATTGTAATCACAAAACTTAATACCATTTTAAACAACATTCATTACATTTTTAGAATATTCTGAATAATAATAATTTTGATTAATCTTTATACAGGGTGAGTCTTAAATAAGTGCAAATACTTTTATACAGGGTTGTTCACCACATACGACACGGAGTATTGTAACTAAACGATTAGATTATTACAAATTGTAAGTTTTGGGTTCGTTGAAGGACTATTAGAGCTACAATTTGTGAGTATCCCAAATAAATAAAAAATATCAAAGTTGTATTTTTTTAAATGGAACACCCTGTATATTATTACATTTTTAGTTTCTACGATTAAAATAAAGGTAAATTTGATTAAGGTTTATTATACTTAAACCTTACCGTTTTTGAAATATTTTCAATTTTGTGAAATTGCAGTAAAAATTTTAAAGCTTCATTTCTCCAAGGGTATCAATGTTTTTAATACTAAATATTTAATGAAGTTTATTTATTGATCAGTTATTGTGTTGCAATAATAAAAATAATACTACCTTATACAGAGTGTCTAAAAATTTATTTTAAATAATTATTAGCTTCAAACGGCAATAACTTCTTTAATTTAAATGGAATGCCCTGTATATTTTAGGAGAATCAGATGCACAATTAAATTGTCTATCAAATTGTATTATACCATTTTTTACCTATCCCTTCAAGTTTTCATAGAAAATGCATTCTCTTATAATTTAGACCTCATTTATCAATATATCCATGGAATACTGACATTTTAGATTGTTTTTAAAGCAACAAATGTACAAAATGTACAGACTAGTAATATTATCGTTTTCAGCAAAACGATAATATTACTAGCCCATTTGTATGCAAAAAGAAAACTATTTAAATCTTTATAAAAGAGTATATACCATTAATTAAATATAACACCATTATTTCCGCCCATATACTAATTAATGACATACTTAATTGTGTTCGTTAATAAATTATTATAAATAAATGTGGATTTTTGAGTCAGAGATCAATATAATAATAAGTTATCAAATTAAAGTCTTTGTTGTTATAAATAAGCATTTATTAAAAAATGAAATATCATTTTTAAGGTGTTACTTTTTATCACACTGTCTAATGCCCATACAAAATTCAGTTTTTTAGTATTTGGAGCAATTATTATTAATCAATGCAAACAGTCAGTTAATGTAGTTTGAATACTGGATCATATTAATTGGTCCTCTTTAACAAATATTTGAACAGTTTTTTTTTATTTTTTAATGAAATAAACGAATTATATCGACAATATTAGTATCTGTACTCTTTAAAAATTTGATACATCTTTAAAAATAATCTAAAATGTCAATAGTCCATGGGTATATTGATAAATAAGTTCTAAATTACAAGAAAATGCATTTTCTACGGAAACTTAAAGAGATAGGTAAAAAATGGTATAATATAATTTGATAGACAATTAAATTGTGCATCTGATTCTCGTAAAATATACAGGGTGTTCTATTTAAATTAAACAAGTTATTGCCGTTTAAAGCTAGTAATTATTTAATATAAATTTTTGGACACTCTGTATAAGGTAGAAAAATTTTTATTATTGCAACACAATATCTGATCAATAAATAATCTTCAGTAAATATTTGGTATTAAAAACTTTGATACCCTGGGAGAAATAAACCCTTAAAATTTTTACTGCAATTTCATAAAATTGAAAATATTTCAAAAACGGTAAGGTTTAGGTGTGATAAACCAAATCAAATTTACCTTTATTTCAATCGTAGAATCCAAAAATAGAAAAAAATATAACTATAATATTTTTTACTTATTTGGGACACTCTGTATCTTGTAAAAATATTTTTAAATTGTAGCTCTAATTGACCTTCAACGAACCCAGAACTTACAATTTGTGAAAATCTAATCGTTTAGCTACAATACTCCGTGTCGTATGTGGTGAACAACCCTGTATATATATTTTAGAAACATTCTAAAATATACAGGAAAATTTAAAAGATCAACATCTTTTTTGCAAAAAAAAATAAAAATATTTGCACTTATTCAAGACTCAACTTGTATATTATTTTAGTTATTGTAATTTTTTAAACGATGCATTAATTGATTTGAGGATTTCTTGGATATTGGTTGTTTGCTGATCTTGGCAACTTTTGATGTGGTTTCCCAAGGTTCGTGGGTGCTTTCTGTTGAAAACCAAGGTGGAGTCGTTGTTGGCGGGGATTCCGTTGTTCCAGTGAATGAAGTCGTGACTTCACTTGTTGGTTCTAAAGTCGTACCTTGTGAGCTAGTGGGTGGTTCAGGAGTCGTTGGTCTCGTTCCGCATGTTACGTCTTCAGCAAAATTACATACGTTCAGTGACTCGTCGTAGTAGGTTCCAGAGGGACAAACCAAACGTGTAGCTTGGCCACCGTTGCATTCGTAGAAAGCTCCGCAATTGTAATCGTCTGGTAGGTATATCGCTGGATCTGTTGGCTCCTGTGACGGACATACTGCAAATAATAGTTCAATTTCTAGATATAATGAGCAAAACCAATTGTAACCGATGGTAATTTTGGCAAGGTCAAGCCCTAGATTACTAATTTACTTGTACGGGTACCCTTCTCTATTTCTTAATTGGTCTTTGGTAAAATGATTTTATTTTGGAAAGAGCTGACATCGGTGATCAAAAGACTAGAAGATCAAGTCCAAAAAGTAGGCTTAGTAATTTTTGGAGTTTTCAGATAGGGATTTTGGGAAGGGATGATGTCTACAAATAGATTCTGAGAGAGAGAAACGATAGAAGAAAGAAAATACTGAGGAAGATTTTTGCAGGAAAGAAGATAGACAACATATGGACCAGAAGAACAAATGAAATATTAAAGCAACTATATCGGGCAACGAGTATAACGAGAGCAGTAAGAGCACAAAGACTGAGATGGCTGGGATGCATTGAAAGAATGGCTGAAGCAAGAATTCCTAGTTTGATAATGAAACGTGAAATAGGTGGAAAGAGAAGGAGGGGTAGACCGAGAACCAGATGGAAAAAGGATGTCGAAGAGGACTTGAGAAGGATAAGAGTGGATGGAGGGACAATAAAGGAAAAAGACAGAAACAAATGGAGAAAGATAACCAATCAAGCCATGAGTCTTTTAGGCTTTTAGAGCCATTAAATAATAAATAAGAGTAGAGCTTAATTGTAAAAAATTTCAACTGGGCTACAATTTATTAGAAAGTTTAGGAAAATTTACAATTTTCTTAGAAAAAGTCTATTTTAAAGTTGAATTAAATTCTATGTTCCTTTTGGTGTAGATTTTTAAAGTACATTAGTAATTTTTCTATTAAATTTAATAAAAAATAATATTATCTATTTACCTGGTGGAGGAATCGTGGTTTGAGAAAATGCTATATCAAGTAATAAAGCGCCGAAAAATAAAATTCTGATCATTTTAAAAGTAGAAAAACCAACTTATATTTGTTACTAGGTACTTATAGAAGCCAGAATAAATTTTCATTTTCTTATATACTGCTTGTATCGAAGAGAGAATTTTTCGAAAAAAATCAAGGTAAAAGATATAGATGCACTTGTAGTGCGTTTATATTTTTTCTTTGATTAAGTAAATGGAATGATAACATGTTAGGTATATATTTTTATTTAGTTCAAAATCAATGAGTGGCGAAATATACAGTGACTGACTCACAGATTAATCACGATCCTGCTCAAACCACTCAACGTAAAAAGCTCAGTTTTGGCATACAGGTTGATTCTGGAGTGTAGAGGTTCGATAAGAAGGGATTTTTCGAAATTCCAGTTCTAAGGGGGTGAAACCACCCCTCAAATATTACAATATTTTTTATTTAAAAAACGGTCAAGTTTCCGAAAAAACGCTTAAACACGTATATTTTATTTTCATTTTTTAAATATTTTAAAATTTTTTAAAAATGTATACAGGGCGTTTCGAAAAATCTGGTCATTAATTAATAACGATCCTGCTTAAAGCGCTTGTTGTAAAAAGCTGATTTTTGGTAAACGGATTGACTTTAGGGGGTAGAGGTTCGATAAAAAGGGATTTTTCGAAACTCATATTCTAAGGGGGTGAAACCACCCCTCAAATATTAGAATATTTTTTATTTAAAAACCGGCGAGTTTATCGGAAAAACTTTTAAACACGTATATTTTATTTTGTTGTTTTACATATTTTAAGATTTTTTAAAAATTTATACAGGGTGTTTCATAAAATATGACCATTGAGTAATCACGATTCTGCTTTAACTGCTTGACGTTCAAAGCTGATTTTTGGCAAACGGATTGACTGTGGGGTGTAGAGATTTGATAAGGAGGGGTTTCTCGAATCTCAAATTCCAAGAGGGTGAAAACGCCCCTCAAATATTACAATATTTGTTATTTAAAATACGGTTAGTTTTTCGGAAAAACGCTTGGACACGAACCATTTATTTTGTTTTTTTTTCATATTTTGAAATTTTTTAAAAAATCATACAGGGTGTTCCAAAAAGTTGGGTAATTGATTAACCACGATTCTGCTTAAGCTGCTTGCCGTAAAAAGCTTATTTTTGACAAACGGATTTTTCCAGTATGTTAATGGAAATTCTTGCTTTGCTTTATCATCACCATTACAAATGATTAATTCGACGGGAACGAAGTCGCGGGTACACGCTAGTTAAATATAAATAAATTATTGATAATACTTCGGTTGCTACTATTATTTTGAATTATTTTTTATATCTTTGGGTCTATAATCGGGTTTTCCAAAAATAGGAACTTTGTTTATACATATGTTACGTATTAATAAATAAAAATATTAGGTCTATAAGTGTTTTTTGATATAGCTGTGTCAATAGTAATAAGTAATTGACACTCAAGTACTTTAAGTGACTGAAAAAATTTCAATGAATCCAAAAAAAAATTAAGTAACTAAACCATTTTTTTTTATAAAAATTTATAAGTTATTACTATAATTTTAATTATGAATGAGACTGTAGATATGTATTGATCTCTCTATATTTTTTTTATTCTAAATTATAATTTATATCTTAGAGTTTTAAAATTACATGAGATGGGATTTGTGTTCCAAGAGTACAATGTTTTAAAATAATTATTTTCTGCCTTCATATAATACCATACAGGGCGAGTCTTAAATAAGTGCAATTACTTTTATTTATTTTTAACAGGAGATGACAATTTTTTAGTTTTCATTTAAACAAAATAATAAAAACAGGTAAAGAAAAAAATAAGTTTCTTTTATCGAGATCTACCAGCTTTAAAAATATTTGCACTTATTCATGACTCACTCTGTATAATAATTATTACAGAAAACACACAACAAATCATAACATATTATTTAATTTTTGCTAAATTTAATATTATTTTTCATCGTCTCTTATATTGTTAATTAAAAAAAAACGTACTTGAAACTATAAAGTAATATATTATTTAGCAACAATTTAATTAATAATATTGAATATCCTGGCGCATTCGCCCAAGATTTGTAATATATATATTTGTTAATAATAATTATTAGTTGCATAGGTTACTATACTACTTATTAAATTTTTGGTTTGAAGAGAGTAATAACTTTTCGTCCATATCTGTATAAAACTACTGAGTAAAGAAATATACATTTTGACTTTTTTACGTAAAAAACAGCTTGGTAAAAATCGCTACGGGTAATGGTTCACGAGATATTTGGAATCTAAATTATCAATACCTGTCATCATTGACATAAATTAAACATGCTGACTAAATAGTTATTATAGATTGAAATCATAAATTTGAAATGTTTTTGTGCCAAAAGTTCAACAAAAACTGAAAACATGGCATTATTTTTTCGCAGAAAAAAATATGATTAATTTAAAAAAATAAAAATTTATTATTTCAGTCAAATAACTAATACCGTGCTGGCAACTGTTACTTTTGGGTCGGCATTTACATGTGTGGAAGTAAATCGTATAGGGATCTTAAAAATTAAAATAAAAATAAAACTTCTACACCCTGTATCTCGGAAACCGAGCATTTTAGTACATACATTTATAGAACTTTTTATCTGCAGAATATGCTGCCGAAGTTTCCGGAATACAGTTCGGACCACCCTGTATAAAGGGTGTTGAAGTGTGTCGAACAGTTTTGATATTCTGAAAAATTCAATCTTCTAACTGGGAAACGGTAATATCGAAAGTTTACTGTGTCGATGCTTAAAAAAAACAATCGATATTTTAATATATCGATAGTTATGGACATCTCTATTTTCAATTAATTTAAAAATATCGCAAATGCATATAATTTGATCGCGTCACCCTTCGTAATCTAATCCAGTATCGATAATTTTTATGCACAAATCGATTTTTCTCGATAACCTAACCGCATATCACGTTACTCGAGCGATTGTAATTCGCTACGAGTGAGAACAGTCGTTGGAGAATTCGATTTCATCGCATTGGAAAAATAGAAATGAAAAAAAAGTGAAGGATTGACGGTCAAACGTGCCGATGATGATCGTGATCATTGAGCGTAACTATTTATTTAGACTCACTATTGATACAGGGGCAAGTTGAATAGTACAACTTATTGTTCCTTGATTTAAGTAAGAACAACAGAGAACAAGAACAATAGAACAATTTTAGTAACAACACTGGGCTTCTAACAGGACACTTATCCCATGCAAAATATTATACAGTCAATATTTACTTTATTTAGCATACTGAAACTTATATGCAGAATTTATAATAATGTGTGTAAAGAAAACATTTCGGCAAAGTCTGGGGTTTGTGATAAAACGATTTCCGGAAATAATTGACACTGACTCAGGTCTATTTCTTATTTTTTTCCATAGCAACTGTTAAAATTGCCACAATATTTTTTCTACTCGTAATAAATTCCTTGAAATAATAATAATCTGAATATTTTTTAAAACGTAAAATAAAAATAATTAAAAAAAAAAAAAAAAAAAATGATTAAATTTAAATTTTTAATATATTAAAAATATATATTATTATTTTATTTATTTTTAATTTTTTTTTAATTTTTTTTTTAAAATTTTGATTAAATTTTAAAACACAATTTTTTATTAAGCGAAAGTGTCAAAAGTTGACATATGATATGTTCAGAATGTCATAAAATCAAAAGTTGTAGTCATTTCCGATGAAACAGGAAATGACTAAAAACAATTGAATGCATCAATCAATCCTAATTTATGTCATATACTAACATACCAAATCTCGTTTTTTTTAACTGAAAAAATAAAAAAGTTATAGGGGTGAGCCACTTTTCAGACGCACCCATAATCATGAACATTGGCGATTTTCGTCATTCGATATAAGGGACGTTTTAATCATCAACAAAAATAGCTCAAAAACAAGGATTCAAAAATATAATTTTCTCACAAAATCAAGACATTTAATCCTTTAAAGGTGTATATATTCTGAATCTACATAAAATTTCCAACAAATGTTGAAATTTTCATAGTTTTATGACCATGTTTAATATTTTTTTCAAACACCTTTAAAAATGGGCATTTTTTCGACTTTTTTTCCATAATATAGTCATGCAAATTTTGATTTTGTTAAAACTGCTGTTTCTTTCGTATCGCCCCGGTATACCAGAGGCGTTCAGATCCTGCTATTGGCTCTCAGTATCCACTGTTACAGCTCACTTACACCTGCCCGGCCAGGTAAAACTGATAAGTTTTGTCAAACGCACTATCGCCATTCGCTCGTTTCGTTATTCCCAAGCGATACGCGGCGCCTGTACTCGATCCTGACGACGGGATTCTTCGAAAATCACTCGAAACGTCGTAATTATCGGTCGGTGCGAGAGAAAACGAGAAGAAAACGGTGATAACTCGGTATTTAGCCGGTAAATGCCGGCACAGATTGACTGTGATTTGCGATAGGACCGGAAAGAGTTCTTCATGATGTAAATAGTAACAGAAATTGATCGGATTTATGGAAAAAAGAAGAATCATGACAGAAAAGTGGGGAAATAGTGTCAAAAGAAGTGATTCACAATCGGTAATATATTTTTTTTCATTTTTAAATTAAAAAACAATAAGTAAAAATTGCTACAAACTACCTATGCAGGGACAGGGTTGTTCACCACATACTAGAGGGAGTATTGTAGCTAAACGATTAGATTTTTACAAATTGTAAGTTTTGCGTTTGTTGAAGGGCTACAATTTAAAAATATTACAGATACAGAGTGTCCCAAATAAGTAAAAAATATTATAGTTGTATTTTTTTTAAACGAAACACCCTGTATATTATTCTATTTTTAGATTCAACGATTGAAATAAAGGTAGATTTGATTAAGGTTTATCACACTACCGTTTTTGAAATATTTTCAATTTTGTGAGGCTGCAGTAAAAATTTAAGGCTTCATATGTCCAAGGGTATCAAAGTTTTTAATACTAAATATTTACTGAACATTATTTATTAATTATATATTGTGTTGCAATAATAAAAATTATACTGCTTTAAACAGAGTGTCCAAAAATTTATATTAAATAATTACTAGCGTTAAAGTCTAATTTAAAAATGATTAAATCCATTTTATATAGGTACCTAACGTCAAACAGAACATAATTGTTTACATAGTCAGTATTAATGTGTATATAATTGTTTACACGTTCATATATCTTATAAACTCATATTTATTTTTCCTATCGCTGACTAATAATTACAAATAATTTTTGATATTTCAAGAATTTAAAAAATAATCCCGATCCTTATCTATGATTGTACAAAATATTACAAACTAAAGGATAGTTTAGGTCTAATAAAACTTAATTTACATACCTATAAGTATATAATATGATAATAAATCATTCCGAAAGTTAAAAAAAGAATCTTATTATTTTAGGATTGCAAATAAATATTGGTAATACATACATTTCTTCCAGATATTTTTTTATGATAAGTAGTTTATCGCAATCTTGTATTAATTATATTTATTTAACATAGTTAAACTGGTGCAACTATTGCAGAATGAAAACTGTATCAGATCAAGCGAATTAACATAGATTTGTTTGTCTTTCCCACAAACTTCCTGCATTTTACGTCTAATTACTGTCGCTACTAACTAATTTATGTAATTGAGAAATCGCCATTAATAAATCTAGACATTTTTAGTCCTAAATGACGGCGACCTTTATTCCCAAGCCTACTATAACGCCGTTTTTTTGGACCTATGATATAACGGCCGGTATGTAACTGCCATTATACTGTTAAGGTCCGGTTTTATATATTTGTCTGTAACATATATAGTTTAAATTAATGCTCCCTTTTTAATTTTGGAATTATTAAGAATAAAGAATTTTATCTAAACCTTTACTATTATCATTATCGTGAATTTTGATAAATGAATGCATTGATTTCAATATATAATAATATATAAAAAATATTATCTCTATTAACATTCTTATTGTCTTAATTTTTCAATAAAAATCCTGATAACTACATAGTTCTATTTAATTTATTTTTTCTGGCTTTTGCAGTTACTAAACTAAGGCATTTTTTATAAACTTTCTTTGCTATTTTACATAAAATTGTTAAATTAGTATAAATAAACCAGGAGAAATAAAGCAATAATTGTGGTTTTTATTTTAAACGGATTTTTTTGCTGTGCTAATAGGTCTATTAGTCTATTACAAGATGGCTAATCTTGACAATTTTCTCTGGGATTTTTAAATTTCTTTCTTTAATTGTTCAAGTACCCATGTATAATGAGGTGGTAAAAAAAAAAAAATATTAGGAGTAGAAAAAACATAAAACACAATACAATTTCTTAGAAAATTAAATCAAAACAATTTATTCTAATATTACCTCCAGACAATCACTTCCTTCGTATGCGGTAGTTAACAAAATAAAAATAAAACAACATTCAACAAAAATTTAAGGAAATATGTGTACTTTCTAATGGTTTTTTAAACGATCTCCCCGGTACTAATAAGTACCTACGCGTGCTTCGATTGCCTTAATTGAAAATAACGTTTATGCACGTACATGTTGCAAAATTCCCCTAACACACACGTCAAAAAAATTACAAAACTGGACCTCCCAAGGCCTATTTGGCCGGAGTAGTACTACCAGTACCGCCATATATTAATAAATGGTTGATTAATAATAGCAATAATAATTGGCGCAGTGTAGCAATGGGTCTCGACATAACTGTATTAGTTTATCGAATTAGTCCATATTATATGAAATATATTGCAGAAATATATGTAGTACCTAGCTGTTAATATTGATTTTTTATTGGGTTTACCAATATATTTAAATTAATTTAATTTAACCTAAGTAATATATTAATTTGACATACATTTCTTATTTTTAAAAGATCATTATCAACTAGTTTTTTTATACGATAAATCATATTCCCTTTTTGCACCAAATTTTAAAATGCCTTACTTGAAAAAATGCTTCTTGAATATCTGAAGTGCTTTCAAAATGATTCAGAATTAAGAAAATACAAAACATGATATTATTTAGCAACTTATACATGTATGTAATCTTTTGCGGTCTTAAATTTTTCCTAGGAACAATACAACTGCAATGATATACAGGGTGGTCCGAACTGTATTCCGGAAACTTCGGCAGCAAGATAAAAATAAGTAAAAAAGTTCGTATACAGGGAGTCTAAGATACAGGGTGTAGAAGTTTCACTTCGAATCGTTCGTTTCATCTCCGAATCTAAGCATTTTAGGACATATATTTATACGACCTTTTTTCTTATTTTTATCTGCAGAATATGCTGCTTCGGACCACCCTGTATATCTCTGTTTGATGTCTGACTTTACAGTATAAATACATGTTACTAACAACTAACAACGCAATACTTAAGTGTACTATAAATATTTGTAATTAAGATCATACAGGTAGTATAAAACAAAGATAGCAGAAGAAAAATAGATCAGTCATTTTTATTTATTCTTCACATCTCACTGAAAATATTTGTTCAATTTCTTAAAACACATACACTGTAATCATTGAATGACGATCACGTCATTACAATATACATAGAAATTATAAACAGTTTTAAAAAAATGTTACTAAAATTTATTAAAATATACTTAATTAAATTAATATGAGGATTAATCCTATTACAATTTGCTGAGGTAATTCCCATTGTAAATACAGGTTTACCCATAAGGTGTGATGAATGATGATGTTACAAAAACATTGTTTCTCTATCTTGTTGCTTCTCTTTGTGGTCGGCCTTCAACTTTTAATGCTCTTCTAAGTACTTACACCTCGTGAAGAATGTAACAGGGCACTTAAAATTTTATCGTCATTATACAGGATGGTCTAAAAACGTTTTTCATTTAATAGTTTATTGTTGGTCATGACCTCAGGCACAAAATAATTATTCTTTTAATCCCCTGTACAATTGTTTATAAAATTTAATAATATTTTATCAAGGTTCTGTCATTTTTGGATGAAATTTCATGGATAAAATTTTATCATATTTCTGGCTGTATTTAGTTTATTAATTTGTTCTTGTAGTTCTTCAGGACTACTGGTATATAGGGGACTATTATTGGCTCTTGAGTCATAAACGTATGTGTGATCAAAATACAAATGTTTTTTTTTCAAACGTCACAAAAGTATTAATTTTTGCGACGTGATTGACAATATAAAAACGTCATTTTAACGCCTAGGTATAAAAGTATGAAAATATATTTTGAAACTGACCTAAAGTGTCAAATTCAACGAGCCGTAACCATAGTTGCTCAATATATAATTACCTTATTATGGATATCATTATGTTCCTTCCTTACAAACAAGGTACGACTTTTAAATCTTTTTATATTATTTGTAACGTTTGAAATTGTTGAAAAAATTAATTGTGGCGTTTGAAAAAAATTGCATGTTCTATTCGGAGTAAAAATGACTTTTTGTATTCCTAATAAAACAATATACTATTTTTTCCGATACAAAAACAAATTCTAATCTTTTTACAATTTGAGAATTGTAAATACAGATAATTGCAATGACAGAATTAAATGATCAAAAAAAGCAAGACACACCTTTGATTTGCACTTAAAATATATCCAATTCTCAATTATTTGATTAACAAGTAGGTATAGCTGTTAGAGTATGTTTAAAAAATACGAGGTAAGCAAATTATTAATTAAATTATCTAGATATAATAAAAAAATAAAAATAATTTACAAAAAAAAAGGAAAACAAATATAATTAATTAATTTTTATAATTTTTAATGATGAACCTTTTTTCTATAGATTTTACCTTTTTTTTTCTACAATCCACGTAATAATAATGCCATGATTATGTTGATTATACCTGTACATTTCATGGTCATGTAAAAAAAAATCAGCCATACAGAAACCATGGAAAAATCATTATTAATAAAATGATTGTTTATATTAGGAATATTATTAATAAAAATAATAATAGGAAGCGTCAACACAGGTGGTATGAGACACTACAGGATGTTCTGTAAAATGCAATAAAAAAAACAATGTATACACCACATCGTGAGTAGGAAATAAAGGTAAAAAATGATTGTTTCAATCACTAAAAATAGAAACAGGATAACAATTATTCAATGCAATATATTGAAAATAAAATTTTGTAAGTACATACTATTATACAGGGCGTCTGTTAAATAAGTTTATATATTATGTATTATCTTACTGTATAGTTGACTGTAATTTATACAAAACAGATATTATTATACAGTCACGTTTAACAAGTAAAAGTTAAAAGAAAAATCGAAGTTTCCCATGAACGAACAACACGAAAAAACTGAATTTATTAAACTAATTAAATGATATATACAGCTAGAAAATATTATAATAATTATCGATGAACAGTTAGAAAGCCATGGTAATGAAAAAAAAAACAAGTCCGTTTATTCAATTAAATTGTTTCTTTACAAATTCACCTCACGTCGATAATACCCAGGCATACAAATAATTGAACGACCTTAGGTTCAGCGTGTGTGGTACTATGGCCTTTGTAACTTGTAATAATTGCTCGGGTAGTACCTGTTTTTAACCGTGTAGAGATGCAAGCATATACTGTATTTTAAAAAGTTATTTGCTTAAATTAATAATGATAGTAATATTAGATGAGGTAGATTTGCACTAATCAGTAAAGAATAGTATATTCGTCCATATTAGACATATTTTTCCCACTGTGTATCATAATTTACATAGAATCTCTTAAGAGAATACGTTTATTTATTATCTTGGGACAATGAAATTTGCAAATTCGTGAGAGAATCCTTGATTTGTATTTAAAAAAAAAACGTAGAAATGCTATTAAATTGTTCTCATAGATTTTGTATTGTACAGTGAGTTTAAAATATTTAGATATATACAGGGGGTGAAGTTATCAATGCGACCTTACAGATTTATTGTGTCCCTTAAAGGGTTCAGTACTTGGCGCTATTTTGTTTCTGGTGGTTATCAACGACATTGCAAATCTAGACATTAGCGGTAAAATCTGCCTCTTTGCGGACTATACTAGTTTCACTTGGAGCGGCCCAGATGTTACGGCTCTATATAATACTATATTCAGTGACTTACGCACCATTAAATCTTGGTGTGATTCTAATCTCCTATGCCTCAACCTATCTAAAACTAAAGTTGTGTCATATTATTATGTATCTGCTACTATACAACATTTTGTACTTAATAACACCACTATTGACGTCGTGGACTCTGTGAAATTCTTAGGACTTGTTGTAGACAACTCGTTAAAATTGGATTTTCACATCGAGGCTCTATCAAAGAAACTAAACGTTGCCTGTTTTGCACTAACATCAGTTTCGAAGGAACTTAACTTATCAACCTCTAGAATAGCCCATTATGCCCTTTTTGAGTCACATCTTCGTTGTGCACTTCCATTCTGGGGTACTTGCTGCGCAACAAAATTTGATCGTATTTTCAGACTTCAAAAGAGAGCAGTTGGATATTTATTGGGACTGAACAGTAGAACTCACTGCCAGAATTTCTTTAAAAATTTCAAAATACTGACTCTTCTTTCTTTATTCATTTTTGAATCCGTTTGCTTAATCCGCAAGCACATATCTGCTATTTCCGAAAGGCCATCTCATAACTATCCACTTAGGAATGCGGAGCACGACCTTTATCTGCCAACCCCGAGCTCAGAACTAGTTAAAAGTTCCATACTGTACAATGCCAAAATAATGTACAATCATCTGCCTTTGAATATCAAGTCGTTTTCATTCTTTCCCGCATTTCGCAAAGCTCTGAAATCATACTTACTGGAGAGAGCCTTATATGCGGTAAACGATTTTTTTGTTGATGTTCAATCATGAACAATTTTGAATTTTAAAATTTTGATCATCTCACACACTGGTCAAAGGTTCTCGATTATCAGGCGTACCAAAGTATATTTTCTTGTATTCTATAGCACTGTTTCTTTTGCAGATTGATAAAAAATGGAAAGACTCGGAACCTATGTACAAACCGAAACTACTGACCCATTCGCCATCTTTGAGGGCAATGAGGAACTACAACGACCTCCCGATTGACGGTACTTCCCCTGGAACAGGACAGGACAATCAGGGATACGAGGCGGACTTCCAATACGAGTACTACATTCATCCAGACTATACGTAAGAGAATTTTCGATTTTTTATAGAAAATAATGGTTTAAATTGAATTAATCTACGACAATGTCAACAATTACAAAAATTAATTATAATATCAGTACAATTGGTTAAACTAATTCCAGACGAAGACAGGTGAGTTGAATTTTTAGAAAGTAAATCTATTTCCTGAGTGCTTGAACTTGTTGAAGACCCATCATTGCCTGAAATGTGTTACCCAAAATAATTACATGACACTTTTTTCTTATTTTCTTTGGAATTTTCTATATAGCTCTCTGCCACGGTGTTAGAGCGCCAACCACCATGTCTTTTAACAGTTAATAAATCCACTCCTGAATCTGCAAGCAACGACGCAGACGACCTACGGAAACAATGTCCAGTGTTTTGTTGTGGATTTGGAAGACTTAGGAACAATGCTATTTTATACGGCATTTTCCCTAAAGTATTAATGCCAACGGGTTGCTTAATACATTTTCCATTTCTGTACCCCACAAAAAATTGAGTATGCTCTATGTTGCTTGGCCGTATAGACATATATCTTCGAACCATTTCCACCATATTTATTCTTTCAACATTCCCTTTCGTTATAAAAAAATCACGTGATATCTTTGTTTTCGTAAATGGAATAATGACATGAATGCATTGTCCTTCATCTTTAACATTTTGCAGCGGCAGATTTGTCAACTCGATACGCCGGCAGGCTCCCGCAAGTCCCACTATCAATGAAACTTTTGTCAGTAAATAAGTTTTATCATCGGCTTTCAACAAAAAACGAGTTATGTCTTCTTTTCTTAAAATTCTCGATTTTTTGACCGAAATCCTTCCGATTTTCTTTTTAGAAATGCAATTAAATGGATGTACTTACTAATATCTGTATTTTTCTTCACTGATAGAACTGAACGTAGCATGGAATAATATACAAAGTGATGAAGCCTTCCTATGTTTTGAAAGATGTTTAAAATATGCCAGGAGAACCTTTTCGTTACTACTATTCTTGATTCCTTTTCCTTTACACCAATTTTCAAGTTATAATAATATAATAATAAATAAATAATAATAGGCTTGCTCGTACGTTTGTCTTGATTTTTCGGACTAACTTTTTTGCTACAGAAAATTTTGTTTTTTTATGAAAACATTTCCAAAGAACCTTTTAGTACACACAAAGTAGAATTTAATGGCTTAAGAATATTTTTTTTAAATTAACAATTTAGAAATGAAGAATAGAAAATTTGATTTTTTATATGGGACACCCTGTATATTTTTAATTCATTGAAAATAATTTAACTTGATAAAATTGCTCGATTCCTCTTCTCTCGAGATATTCAGTTTGTAAAAATTCGCACTTTGAATAAGTGGGCTTTGAACGGCGGAATAATATTTGCAATGAGAGATGCATGCAGAATTTTATAACAATTTAAATTACATTTAACATCAACACATTTTGAACTATATCTAATAACAATAAAAATTAATATCAAACCAAGATTTGAGATTTTGGTTGTTCGATATGTCAACCGTCTTCTGTTATGGACAGACGGGGCCGTTTTTGAACATTTCTCGCGGAATTAATTAACTCAGTGGGAATGAAAGATACCCTCGCATGAGTAGTTCTAAGTCCTGCCTAGATTATATATGGGCAATTTAAAAATAAGAACTTTTATTCTTTCGCAAAAATAAAAATCCATAGGAAATAAGCCCGCCGCGCCGGCCTCGATGTCCAACGCCTGGGATCTTTGTTAGCTATTTAATTATTCTCGAAATTGGCTGCAAAAATTTGCTGATAACTTCACCATTCTGATGGCGGTGCCTTGTCTTGCTGGAAAAATATGTTTTCGTTTTCGATTTTTTCGAATATACAGGGTGTCCCAGAAATAAAAAGTAGGGACTGGGAATCGACAACATTTTGCGCAATGCCTTCAGTATCCGAAGGGACACTTTCAGAATCAGAGTCACCCATATTAATATTATTTTTTGCTAAAACTGAACGCTTAACATAAAATTGAACATCAATAATTGAGTTGTCAAAGTCAAAATAGAAACAATCAACAATCACGGTTACCACGGCGCGGCGTCGACTAATATGGGCACCTGATAATTTTGAATTTTAATTTTTATGAGGATATCTCTGATATTTTAAATTAAATCAAATCTCTTTGGATCGTCCCTGGTGTCGCGTCGTAGATTAAATTTTGAATGATACACGTTCGATACGAACTTTTTAATGAAACTTGTGTAACTAATGAAGTTTGTATCGAACTTGTATCATTAATAACTATTTAAGTTTCTAAATGTAATTTCAGGGTGAACGATGGCAGCAATTCCAAAACCTCGAACTACGAGTATCCCACGATGAGTACCGTGTCCCTAAAAACGGTCTCTGGTGGATCTGAACTGAACTCCAACGTGGACACTGCCGAAATGGGGTCTTCTGTCAAATTAGTTACTGAAAAAGTGGAAAGAGTAAGTTTTTCTAGAGATATAGAGTCAGAGAAAATTTATCATGGTGGGCGCCATGTTCACGCTTAAGCCTATAGGGGAAGGTCAGAAAAAAAGTAATAGTGATTATAATTTTCTTGACGATCATCTTTAGTTAATCTTAAACATATCGTGTAATATTAGTTAGACAACTATAGTAATATGTATATCAATATACGGGGTGGTCCGAAAACTTCGGCAGCATATTCTGCAAATAAAAATAAGTAAAAAAGTTCTTATAAATGTATGTTCTAAAATGATTCCTTTCGGAGATACAGGGTGGAGAAGTTTCATTTTTATTTCGATCTTTTCCAGATAATTGCTGAAGTAACGTCAATATTTGGATGAAAATTGGTGTCTGGGGGTTTCTTGACATGAGAAATTTGATTTTGATATCCATATGACTCCTATTTGTAGGGGGCGCCACCTACATGTGCTTTAATTGCTTTGAAGACTAATAACTTTTTGTCTGTACTTGTATAGAACTACTGAGTGAAAAAATGTATATTTCCGTAATTTTTTACGTAAAATATGTCTCTTGATAAAAATCGCTAAGAGCAACCGTTTTCAAGATATTTAGAATAGACATTTAGTCAATGCATGTCATTTTTGACAAAAAAATAAACATGTTGAATAGATCGGGAACTTTTTATACTTTAAAGACTGCTAGTAACTGTTAGCGACTGCCAAGAAAATGTACATGTAATTCCAATAGTGAGACACCCCTGGCTCTAAAGTTTTTTACTTTAAAAATTAAAGATATAGATATAACGATGAATTCGTCACTCTCCCAAGCGTAAACTTTCTATAAATAAACAAACATTTCGTTCAAAAAAAGTTCTCTAATTAAAGTCATATAGATTTAACTAGACTAGGTCGATTTCAATGGAGACAAAAATGCTTTTTGTGACACAGTTTCTCCACCAAAACGTTGAATTTCGATGGTTTTTCTGGATATTTTTTCGTCGTCAAAGTCAACCAGTAACCAGATTTAATTATGTCGTTTTAAGTATTTGCGATAAATGTACAGGGTGGACCACTTTTTCAAGAAATCAGACGTCATATAAGAGATATAATTTCTATACATTTTAGGAGGATTAGTTCTAAAAAACTCTTAAAAAAGGCATAACAAGCCGATATATACAGTGGTGGCCAAAAGTATGGAAACTTTTTTAATTTGTCATTTATGCTGAGAAATTAAAATATGAAATAAAACGACTTATATAATCGTGACCTACAAATAATTTCCTACAAAACCTAATACATTTAAATAAAAAATTACAGCTATCAAAAAATATATAAAAAATTATGAATATTTTCTTGGTCAAAAGTATGGAAACTTAAGAAGAATGTTTATTAAAATTCAAGATAATATAAAAATTACTAATATTTAGTGGAATATCCCTTTGAATTAATTACTTCTCTACATCTTCGTGGCATCGAATCGATCAATCTCGTACAATCTTTACTGGAAATGGCCGCCCATTCAGTTTTTAGCACTTCCCATAATTATTCATTTTTATTTGAAATAGAATGGCTTCGAATTTTGCTATCCAAATGGTCCCATAAATTTTCTATGGGATTAAGATCCGGAGACTGTGATGGCCAATCCATTAGTGGAACATTATGTTCATTTAACCAATTTTGAACAAACCGAGATTTGTGCTTGGGATCATTGTCTTGCTGGAACAACCATCTGAGTGACATTTCTTCATCAGCATGAGGCAGCATATTATTCTCCAATATGTCTTTGTACAAAAAACGGTCCATTATCCCATCAATTTTAACAAGAGGACCAACACCTGAGTGAGGAAAACACCCCCATACCCTTATACTCCCACCCCCATGTTTTACTGTGGGCATCTGGTACTTATGGCTGTACCGTGTACCTTTTGGTCTTCGGACATAACGTCTCCCGTCACTACCAAACAGTTGAAACTTGCTTTCGTCGATAAACAGTACAGTGTTCCATTTCTGATAAGACCAGGTGAGATGATCTTGAGCAAATTTAAGGGCCATCCTGTTTTTCTTTTGATATTAGTGGTTTCTTCACCGCAACTCTTCCAAAAGTCCCATGTCATCCAACCTTCTTCTCACCGTGCGTGCAGACAACGATATTCCCCTTTCACCCATTTCTCGAGAAATGTCTGTGGATGTTTTTCTTGATCTCCCATTGATATTCTCTCTTCATTACTTATTGTCCTGTTGCACAACTTTCTTGGTCTTCCTGACTTAAAAGCTGTTGAAACGTTCCCTTGTTTTATTAAATTTACGAATTATTTTCGAAACGGTGCCTTTTAAAATGTTTAGATTTTTACTTATTTGAATTTGTTTATAACCGCTCTTGTATAATTCAACTATTTTATTTTTAAATCCGTAGAGAAATATTTAGACTTGGGCATGATGTTTATACTTATCTGAAGCAAATCGTACCGTTTATCAGCTTAAACTAAATAACTTTAATGTAGTTATTTATGGTTTCCATACTTTTGGCCACAAGAAATCTATTGTTCTCCTACAAAAACTGCTAAACAGATTTTTTTCGCTGTGTAATTTTTGGAATATTTTTATTTGCTGATAAGCTGTTCATTTATATTCCTGAGAGTTTAAGCATAGCAATATTTTCTGTGATATTTTAAAAAGTAAAAAGTTTCCATACTTTTGGCCACCACTGTATATACTCACCCCCTATGACTTTTTTATTTTTTCAGATAAAAAAACGAGATTTGGTTTGTTAGTATTTGACATAAATTAGGATTCATTGACGTACTCAGTTGTTTTCGGTCACTTCCTGTTTCACCGGTAACGACTACAACTTTTGATTTTTAAAAGATACCCTCGGTATCTTTTACTTTATTCGATAGAAAATGACACTTCGAATAGAATGACATATTATATGTCAACTTTTGTCATTTTCGCATATGGTTTATTTGAAATTATAATTTGCGGTTTGTAACGAAAATTTGACTTGAAATACCAAGTTTGTGGTATCAAATTATTCGTAAAAAACTGATTTTTCCAAATATGCTAATGAGCCACCATCGTTCCATTTGAAAAAATTGAGATATAATTAAAAATACGCGATTTGAGCATCTTTTAACCATTCAGGACAAGACACAAAAAACATTAGACGATCAAATTTATTTTTCCAAAGCTCCTTGATTAAAAATTAGTGTTTTTAACATAGCTATGGCACTCAAGATTGAAATTTAAAATGTCAAAAGCTGATATATAATATGTCATTCTATTCATAGTGTCATTTTCTATCGAATAAAGTAAAAATATACCGAGGGTGCCATTTAAAAATCAAAAGTTGTAGTCATTTCCGGTAAAACAAGAAGTGACCAAAAACAATTGAATACGTCAATCAATTCTAATTTATGTCATGTACTAACATATCAAATCTCGTTTTTTTATCTGAAAAAATAAAAGTTACAGTTATAGGGGTGAGCTACTTTTCCGACGCACCCGGTATATAATTCTTGGTTTAGATTATCTCCGTTTTTATTTTAAATTACTCAGTGTAATTAAGAAATTTTAACAGGCTTGGTAATTATCTCTAACCAGACCTACAACGTATGAGAAGAAATTATACGAAAAAAATATTTTTTAAATTTACCCAAGAGATAGCTAGATATACCGAAAAACTATTTCAGGGATATCCTTGGTCAAGAATCACATTTGCAGAACGAATTTTAACCTTTTAATTAATTAATTCTTAATTTTTAATAAATTCAATATAAGTTTTTAATGTTTTTGTTGCTTTTATTCGAGGACTAACAGAGATGAGACCATACAATTACTCTATATAATATTGTTTTGTCTAAAATACATTTCTATGATTGTTTAACAATAACTGCATAAATGTATTATACTTAATTTTCAAATTCAACACTCAAAATTAATAATAAAAATAAAAATAAAAAACCCTAACAAATAATATAGTTTGCGCATAAGAAATTCCTAATTTGTTATTTTCACTAATACCTACTAGGTTAAAGAGATTCTTTTAAATCGCTTTTTGTCATGGTCTAAATAATTTACCATCAGTGAAAACCACCTTTACTAGCTATTCAAAATAGACAAAATAGATTTGTTATTCGGAAAATAATCGTACATAATATTATAAAGCATTTAATAAGATTATGACGCAAAACAGAAATCCAAAAACTGGTCTTGAAAACAATTTCAACGCATTATATTGCAAATTGATATGTTGCGTAGGTCAGGTAAAGTGTGTCAAGAGATTTTTCGAAATTTATTTACATATACAGGGTGTACTAAAACATCTAATTCATTTTTGTACAGGGTGGATCAAATTCGACGCTTTTAAATGGAAACAACCTTTTCTGTAGGAGATAGACAAAAACTAATATCGGTGTCTGGAGCTCAATTTTTGTCAAAAATATGATGGTGAAAACCGCATATCGATATCTGTTACCGTTTCGGAGTTACGGTGTGTTTTTCAAAAATATGCATTTTTAACAAATCCCTAGCAAACATTTCCAAAGCACCTTTTTACGTACAATTTAATGGTTTAAGTATATTTTTTTTAAAATTAATAATTTAAGAATTATCAACAGAAAATTTGATTTTTTATATGGGACACCCTGTATATTTTTAATTAGCTGAAAAGAATTTAAAATTACCTTTCCAAAAATATAGCACACTTGATATTTTGTTATAATCCCTTCGAAATACAGATTTTTAAAAGTTCGCCACTTTTAACTAGTAGGCTTTTGGACCCCCTCATTGATGATATGCCCTTAAGGGAACCTCGGAAAACATATTTTCCAGTAAGACGACGCACCGCCTCTGAACGCTGAAGTTATCAGCAAATTTCTGCAGCCAATTTCAAGAATAATTGAATAGCTGACCAAGAACCCAGCTGTTGGCCGTCAAGGCCGCTCTGACTTAGTGCCCATGGATCTAATCCCCTATGGATATATTTGCGGGAAGAATAAAGGTTCCTTATTCTTCTGTAT